GCCTTATTATTGCCCTATCATGGTATAAAGCTGAGATCTCAGACACCTTTGTTTGCTCATTCCTGTTAAATTTTACATTTCTATTTCCCCTTTTGCTGATTTTTCACAGGTCACAAATTGGTTAGTGAAGTCATAGGAGCTTCTGACCTACTTCTCTTGTTAGGTGTGTAAACAGACATTTTTGCTCACCTTAACACGCCTTTTAAATGCTTCTAATAAACTAGTTGCAAATCAAATTGCAGACCAAATTTATAATGCTGCTTATGCTGAATTTTAAAACCCCAGAACTATGTTAGGCAAACTCATTATCCTTTAGGTGGAAATAATAAAATAATTATTTTGTGATAAAACTGAAATTCCTAAATATATATAAGATTAAAACTATTAAAAGAAAATTTGCTTATCAAAAATATTTTATTGATATAGATCTAATTATTTTTGATAATTGAAATGAAAAGTAATTTTAGTTTGTCTCATCTGCCCTGTCATAGTTGACATTTTAAATTTGTTTTCCTGTTATTAATATATTAATACGTGATCTGTGATGGCAGTGGTATGTGGCTGAACTGTAAGTACTGTCATATAAAATAATCCTTACCAAAGATTGTCTTTTTATTGTAATTTTATTAATAGTTATATATTTTTAAATAGGTTAAATATATGCTATAATTTTTATAATTTTAAAAAATTTTCTACATAGGTTATCAGTAATGCTCCTTAAAATAAGAATAAAGGTAATTTGATGCTTTGAACCTGAGTTGCTTTAAAAATCCATTTACCTTTTAATCAATTAGACATAATTTTGCATTTAGTTTAGGCTATTGACATCACTGGAGAATTTAAAGGATTGCACATTTATCTTTAAGGTTCACCTGGAGAAACAGCATTTAGAGCAACAGATCATGGATCTGAAAGTGACAAGCATTACAAAAAGGTAAGTATAAAAGAGAATTCTCCACATAGGTAGGCTTGAAAGATTTTTAAAAGTTTTTACCTTTTTAAAAGATTTGAAAATAGTAACATCTAAGTAGAGATATTACTAATCTAGTGCAGGATGCAAAGTGTTACAGGGCAGTTCTGGAAATGTAATTAGAGAAGCCCATTTTCTACTAATAAGTCCTGTGGGTTGTCCCCAAGAAAGGGTTTTATTGTTATATGTGTGTGGGAAAAGCTGGCTTAGACAAAACAAGTAGACTTTTCTTATTTTCCCTAGGGAACCTCTCAAACTTTAATACATTAATGTACATTTTGAATCTCTAACAGGAGTCAAAGCATACAGGGTTTTTCAGATTTATTTATTATCCCTTTTTTCTCATGGAACGTGTAGGAACTAAAGTTTACTTAGGAGAAATAGTAAATAGAATAGGAAGTGGGCTATTGGGGAAATAACTTAATTCCCTTACATTGAGAGTCAGCATAGTTACATGTGGCGTTATTAGAGTGTGTCAATTTCAACATATATGCATTAACAAAAATAAGTTATAGGAGACTTGCATATGAAAGTTATAAGAGAATTTCTGATGTAGAATGTTATACATTGCTCCCTATTTCTAATACTCATGGGTTTACCTGACATTTTCTGAGTCTTCACTGTTTTCATTCTTTTGGAATTGGTAAAATAACTGATTCCTTGAAAGTTTTTTTAAAAACAAATACCTAGATAAATAGATTTATAGAAAAATATTCTATGAGCATTTTAAAATTGCAAAATATGTAGCTTATATACTGAATGTTATTATGGTTTCAGTACATCAAAGGAAATAATTTTATGTTTGGGGAGCAGGAAAAAGAAATTATTTCTATGTATAGGTTTTCATCTCTTTCCCTGTCCTTCAACTTTGAACTTTATATGTGATTTTCCAGATTTTAATTACATTTCAAAAATTTTTTTCTTTTGCCTTTTAAGTTTATCTTTTGAAGAAAACATGTTTCCAAATGTATATGTGAGTGTGTGCCTTTTAACTCAATCTTTTTTGATACTCTTTTATTGACATTATTTCAACCAAAGGATACTCTTGCCATATGAAACACTTTTTACTTCGCCTTGTATTCTTACTATTTAATGGACCATTTCTGTCACTAAATCTCTGTTCTCAGAGCTCCTAGGATAGTGTTGAGCTCTCAGCAGAATGAGTTGATTGATTTAACTCAGTACAAGAGAGGCTGATTTAAAGTATATAAATTTGGTTTATGTCACCAAGGATGAGCCCGAAGAATGCCCTGATAATCTGTGAGTTCTTTGCCTTCATAATTGACAACTATTGAGAACAAGCCTGTAAAAGTAGTCCGTGTACTGATATTCTGAATTGGAATGAAGCAGTGTTGCTTAAGTAGGATTTCTGGGATTTCTTATGCAATAAATAATATAGTAACTGTGGCAAAATTAAATTCTCAAACCAACACTATTGAGTAACCGTGGATTCAGGAACTCTTAACTAGCAGCTATACTTGGTTAGATGCTTAGCCAGAAGCCAGACCACTTGTGCGCTGGAGTACAGTAGTTGGAAAGCTGGGGGATCAGAGGGAGAAAAGCAGGGAATATTATCTGCATGAGAGAAAATGGAATGACATCACAGCCTACTGTATTTCATAACAGTATACTGCATTTTTATATTATTCAAAAAACAGTAAATATTTTTATTTAATGTGTACATAATCCATATAACACTATTTTGAGATATTTATAACAATGAGGATTTAGTAAAAATTGTAATGTTGATATTTATTGGTAGGGCTGTTTTTTGTTCAACTCTTAAAATTATTTGTAAAAATTTTCCAAGTAATAAAATAGGATAATAGTATTACTGGATTGGAGCAAGTTAAGTAATCCCAAGTGTAAAGACCTATTTCCTTCTGATAACCAATAGTAAACATTTTTTAGTGGCTATAAATATCTTCTGCAGAGTTATATATTACTGGGAGAGAGAAAATAGGAAAATACTTCTTTTAGCTAATCAAATAGAATTATTCAAACTTTAAAAAGTAGTTTAGTACTTAGTAATATTTTTTAAATGGAAGGGAAAAGAAGTCTTCACTTTTATAAAGTTCTTTTGCCAGACCAAAGTTACTATAAAATTTTTAAAGCAGGAATTGGCAAACTTATAAGGCCCAATAACAAGTATTTTATTAATAACGTTTGCAGGCCATAATGTCTCTATAGACTACTCAGTCAGACTGCCATAGTTTGCTAACCCCTGCTCTAAAGGGCAATGTAAATATACCTTCCATTGTACTATAGTATTACCACTTTCCTCTTTAAACATAGATTGAACATGATTGGGTCAGTAGCACTTTGAAAATAGTAAGCCCACATGACAGGATGGTGTCAGATGCAGACTTTGGAGCCACAATGCCTGGATTCATATCTAGTCCTTCCTGCTTTCTACCCGGCAACCTGGGACAAGTTACTTAATTTCTCTGAGTTTCTTGTTTCTTCTTCTGCAAAATGGGAAACCCTACCTGAAAGGGTTGTTGGAAGGCTTATATAAAGTCCATTGGCACAAGACGTGGCACATAATAAAACTAAATGTTGGCTTTTAAGAGGAGGAAGAGGATGATGATAATAATGATCATTGTTTTCTTACACTTTGAATTACTGTGTCAGTTAACAGTGTATTAACATATTTGATTAATTTCTTCCCCTCACTTTTCTTCAATGGAATTTTTTCTGGGGATTGTGAAAAATGCGAAAACAGGTCGTGGGGGTGATGTATGGCTTATTTGTGGAATAAGCTTTTTGTTAGGAACCCCTATTTGGGTTTTATGCTAGAAACTCTAAATGATTATTAGGTAAAAGTGAGTTGTAATTTGATTCATTCAAGCAGTAAACATGTGCCAATCCCTGTTCTACGTGGTGGCTGTAAAACATCTTGTGTACCAGGCCTTATCTAGGTGCTATGTATAGAAATGAACAGATATGGGCCTTGCTCTCCTGTAAGTTTTTAAAATACTATTAGGAGTGATAGTATTAAGAGTAGCGGTTTTTTAAATGTATTCACATATGAGTGACTTATAATTATCTTGGTCCAATTCAGGCTGCCATAACAAAAATATCATAAATTGTGTAGCTTGTAAACAACAAAAATTTGTTTCTCACAGTTCTAGAAGCTGGGAAATCCAAGATCAAGGTGCTGGCAGATTTGGTGTCTGTTGAGGGCTCTCTTTTCATAGATGGGGCCTTCTCCCTGTGCTCTCACATAGCAAAAGGAGCTAAGCAGCTAGCAGTCTGGCCGTTTTCATAAGGGTATTAATCTCAGAATCCTCATAGCCTAATCACCACCCAAAGGCCCCACCTGCTAATACTATCACATTGGGGGCTTAGGTTTCAACCTACGAATTTAATGGGGGACAGAACATTGAGACCATAGTGTAATAGTTTAAGATTACTTAAAATCTTTTCTACCGAACTCATTAACTTTGAGGTTAGCACACTATTTTTTAGTTGATATCTTGACTCCTGGCGGTATTACTAATTTTCTTGATCTGATGTTATAATTTAAAAAATCCTGAGAACATTGTACATGAAGTAAGAGACTAAGAATTGCGGTGTCAAATCAACAGTAGCTAGGAGATGTTTAGAGAGTATATCATCTGTAGTTCATAATTGTTTATTATAAAAACTGTATTTTTTATATAATATATACTATTTTAAAAAATAATTGTGTACTATTTCTTGAAAGAAAAATTGTCCAAGTTTGGAAAAATATTTCTTGAATAATGCAGTTTGTACATCTGAGGAGTGCATCTTGCCCAGTAGGTACATACATTTCTTCCCCTTCCCATCTCACATGGCCTTTGGTTAGAAGCTGTATATAGCCCATCACTTGGTATTTAAGGTGAGATTTTATGCCTAAAATTGGAGAAAGGTAACCTTCTTAAGATATGTAGTATAGTGTAAATAGCTTTTTCTATGTCTAATTGTTGTTTTCTTCCTACTTTTTTCAGGAGGTAACAGTTAATTTCAGCTATCTTCATATAACAGTGCTTCAGTAACAGACTCGGAAGGAAAGTGAGGTGTCACTAGAAAACAGGGTCTTTTCTTGTAATCTAATAGATATTAGTGTATTTATCATACAGTTATACATAGATACAAGAGATGAATTAGGGAAGGGTGTTTAAAATATCAATAAAAAAGAATTGTGTGCCTGTAGACTTGTAGAGTTAAGAAATATGGAATATTTTCTAACTGCTTTGGCATTATATAAATTAAAATACTGGTAGTATATGCAGCAGGTACACTAACTGTGTAAGCCAGCACAGCCTAATTTAAAGAGAATTGTTTGAGAAATGTAATCACCTGGATAATTGAAGAAGGGAGTACATGATAAATGACCAGATGGATGAAAATAAGTCTTTGATTACTTGCTGCTTGATAAAATGTAATAATATTAAAAAAAAAAAAGAAACAAAAATTTTGGGAATGACAAGAGTAGTGAATTAGTTGGCATTGCCCTTTTTTTGATAGATTTGTGAGTAACCATAAAACTGATTTTTTAAAACATATATCTTTAAAGATAACTTCAGGTTTTTGTAAATACATTTTATACTATTGAATTTAGAAACAAATGTTGAATTTCACTTGTCATGGAGAAAAAAATCAACTGGTTTCAACCTCTGATTTATAGTAAATCAGTTTAATTCATTGTCTAATTTTGCCAGTGATCACAGCCTAATATATTAAAACTAAGAATCAAACAAAATAAGAATATTCCAAATTGTATGTTAATGTTTCCCTAATTAAAAATGCTTTACTGTAATACTAGCTTTTCCGTTTATACCTACTTTTCTGGAAAACTTTTATGTTTATGTAAGTCGTTGGATTATATAAGGTGAATTAAGTAATTAAGCCTCTAGGTGAGTCTACTACTTACATTTGAATGTAATATTAACCAGTATTTTAAGATACTTTCTAATTATACAAAATATTTTTAGCAGTCATTTTAAAAAACTGTGAAACTATTTAAAACTCCAATTTAGAATATTTTAATAAGCATTAGTTTTCTTAACACTTTGTTTTTATACCTTGGTAAAAACAGTCACCTGAACACTATTCTTATGCAAACTAAGTAGTAACCTAATTAATTGGAACTTTACTTTTTTAGGATTTCTAATTGAGAAAATATTAGGCTTGTGACATTGTCAATTCTTAGTTGTCTTTTCTACCACTTTTCTCAAGGTCAATTATCTAATAGGCCAGCAAGTGTAATAAAAATACTATGCAGAAAATGACATGTATTTTAGTATTATGCCACATGTAAATATAATAAAAATTGTGTCAATTTAACACTACGTGACTATGAAACGGAATGAATTTTAGCAGTAGAAAAGGTAATTAATTTTTGCATAGGTTTAAACTGTTTTTGTTTCATTTTTAAATTTTTGGGATAAATATATTGTCTCTGTATCTTAATTATATTCTTTTATAGTGCTTTTGTTTAGTAATTGATATATGGTTGGCTATATTCTTGGAGATTGTTTAATGTCAAAACAGCTTATAAAAAGTGAAAATTCAGTCAGACTAGTTATTCGATATTATATAAAGTCAAAACAGAACCTAAAACATTTTTTAATTAAGAAAAAAACCTTAAATTTTAGTCAAATAAGTTCATGTGCAAAGTCACATAGAATATATGCATTAATGTAAAACCTTGATTAACTTGGTGCTAGAAATCTCAAATTAATAGTGTTTTTAGAGACTATAATCTTTAATTGAAGAAATCAGATGTCAAGGAAAAATGTTTACTTAATAATAATTTAAGTAAATAAGCTGCTATGAAAATTATGCTTGGGAACTAGAAGATTTAGCCCCATAAAATCAACACTTTTAAAAAAATCAGCAGCATAATTTAGTCCATTTTGGCAATTCAAAAATAAGGATTGACATAATTTGTTTTCTTGATTATCCTGTTAACAGAAATCTAGTGAACTACACTACTACCTTCATAAGCATTCCAGTTAGTCTAGGTTTTACCATGTGTTGATATTGTGTATCTGGCTTGTTTTATTCAGCACTTATTATTGCATTTTCCTTTTCACTTTTTAAACTATGCTGTTTTATTTTTCTGAGACCTCCAATTTTACTGAGAGGGAAAATGGAAATGCAGTACAGAGCCCAATTGTATGATGGCTCTAAAGGTACATGAGTTTCCATTTTTGTTTTAAGCTATCCATACCTCCCTATCTTACATCTTTTCCTTTGTTGTGCCCTTTGGTTTAACATTGTTCTCCTCCCCAATTTCCTCTTCTCCTCATTGTAAACTCATGGCAGGGTCTGCTTGGTGAGCTCATTCTCTTACAACAGCAAATTCAAGAGCATGAAGACGAAGCGCGCAGAGCCGCTGGCCAATATAGCACGAGCTATGCCCAACAGAAGCGCAAGGTGATGGATGGTTTAAGGGGGCTACTGAGGTTCACACTAATCAGCCATTTCTGCCAAGATCATGTCGCCTCATTCTATTTATGGACCCCAATTATGAGAGATTATTTTGACAAAGTAAAAATATGAAAGATATATAAACACCTAACTTTTCTGGGATAAATAATATAGATCAAGCCCAAAATATCAAGCTCAAGCATAGGAATTTAGTTTCTGAAAATTAGGTTATCTGTGAGGATGATCCATGTATTTATATTTAAAATAAAATTATGAATTGCTGTTTATTTGGTCCAGTTATTGAGTCACCCCAAGTTTGTAGCCAATTTATCTACTTATTCTCCAAGATTTTATTTCTAAAATAAAAAGGATTACTATAAATAACCAACTTCAATAAAAAATGATGTTTATTTATTTGTTTTAGCCAAAATGTATTAACAAGGAACATTCATCTTCTTATAGAAGAAAATTATTTTGGCTTAACTTTTGGGCAAAAACATATTCTTACACACTTTGATAAACTCATTGCATATATTTTTCATATTAATAAAGTACAAATACTTTTTTATCTTGGACCACTGAGGGATTGAACATTGGAAATTTGGTGGAATTCTAGTTGCTAAAGAACAGATTCTGGCCAGGCGCGGTGGCTCACGCCTATAATCCTAGCTCTGTGGGAGGCCGAGGCGGGAGGATTGCTCGAGGTCAGTAGTTCGAGACCAGCCTGAGCAACAGCGAGACCCCATCTCTACTATAGATAGAAAGAAATTAATTGGCCAACTGATATATATAGAAAAAATTAGCCGGGCATGGTGGCGCATGCTTGTAGTCCCAGCTACTAGGGGGACGGGGGTGGCTGAGGCAGGAGGATTGCTTGAGCCCACGAGTTTGAGGTTGCTGTGAGCTAGGCTGATGCCATGGCATTCACTCTAGCTTGGGCAACAAAGTGAGACTGTCTCAAAAAAAAAAAAGAAAAAAAGGAACAGATTCTAATAAAAGTCAGCATAAATCTATATAAATATTTGGTTATTGGTATGATCAAGAGGTCCTTAAAATTATGATTTTGGCTGTTAGATAATCTCACAGTGAAGATCTCAAGGTTTATTTTCTGAAGAAACTTTTAGGTCAAAGTGAAGTAAAGTAATGATTTCAAAGTTATACTCTTGAGATCTTGAAATCAACTAATTAACATCTAGATCAGAAAAGTTTTGGAGTTATATACAAACCTTATTCAGGGAAAACAATTGAGTCATAAAATTCTTGTAGATTCTGATATTTAAATCATCCAATATTATAGATAATGACTTAGTACAATAATTTTGCTGGCTAATCTTATCTCATTTGGTGGTGGTTAATACTTGAGAGTAATCATTATAGTTTCATTCATTTTTTCAGAGTCACTTCCTTGCTTTTCTCAATTCCATGGCTGTGGAATCAACTCCTATATATTGTTAAGCTTTCAGTAAATGAGTAACATAGGTAGAAAAAGAAAATAAGTTGTTTTCCTGCATGGTTAAATTAAACTAGATGCGCTTAAACCAATGAGGAGTGACTTTAAATGGTACTCTAACATTCTCTGTTCTGTATGCTGTCATGGTACCATTTAAATATTCTAACAAATTGGATACTTAGGCTGAGCCATCTATACCTTAGTTTTGTTACAGAAAGAAAGAGGAGGAGCTAATATGTTCTGGAATGTTACTTAGAAATATGAATAAAATTCTGATTACAAGTCATTCTTAAGTGTTTTTTCATCATAGTTTGAAGTGAGTCCCATAGACCTTCCATTTTAATATTTTAATATATGGTTTAAGATAATCAATGTGCTTTTGAATCTGACAGTTCAGGATATCAGTAATGAATACTGATTCACTTTCTAGATGGTCAAAGATTGATGTTCACTTTAGGCCTATTTTGAGTCTTTATTCAGGCTTAGAGATATGCCATTTCTGATATTTATCGGATTATCCATTTAACCCTTTTATACCTTCGTTTCCCTATTTGTAAACTAGAGCCTGGCAGGACTGTATCTCTGTCTGTTTTGTTTATTAGAGTACACTTAGTTGAGTACCAAATGGGTCTTGTTCCTGCCTGCTTTATAGTTACCTTGTATGAAAGTAAATGGGATTTTGAAAATAATTTATGCTCTTCCCTTTACTATCCTGAAAGATTATTTCCTTACTGTATCCTCTCCTCCTTTGCCCCTGTAGTTAGCACAGAGATGACTTTTCAGCTCTTCACTGTCATAATGATCAAAATCCTAATTCATAAGATTTTTATCATTCTAAGCATTTGAGGTTTACTTGAGGCACAAAACCATAGATAGTTTTTGTTAGTTTTAATCACTTTCCCTTATCCTCTTGAAAATATAAGTAGGTCATCATTTTTTGGTATCTTATTAGTAGCAACTAATAAATTTTTCTTGTATCTTCTGAGCAAAAACAGGTTACTCAGAGATAGTAGATTAAAACGGCCATTGGTAGCTTTGCCTTTATGAATATATACACATACATAGAAATTTTTACAATGCGTCTTTTATATATGTATTTCAGAATAGCCAAAATGGCTTAATAGAAAGAAATACTTAAAATTTTTAAATCAGGCTTGGTTTTGTGAGGAGCTAGTAAAGGTTTTTCTCTTTCAGCTTTAGCTTGTTTCTGCGGAGCATTCCGCTCTTTCTCCATCAGTTTCACAGCCCTGGAATTGTAGAAAAGCTCTGGTTTCAAGACCATTGATACCCATTTCTGTCAGGGTGAGTTTTAAGTTAATTTCATAATGCAGACTGAATATATTAAACAATAGGACATAAACTTATTGTAAGTGGATGAATTTTGCTAGTAAAGCACATGAAAATATACTGAAATTGCATTTGTTTTATAAAGCTAAAAGTTTTTATCTTGTTTCCTAGAAAATATTAGGTCTAAGTCTAGACTCTGCCACCACCAGCGTTTTAATATAATGTTAATTTTGATGTTCCATTAAACTAAGCAGATAGGAAGTATGTTGGTAAACTATGCATGAGTTATTCTTAACAGTTATACCAGAAAGGCAAATGATAAATTTAAATATTCCTAAAAATTCAAATTTATAAAAATCTTAACAATTGTGATTACTAAATACTAATATTAGCATAATAAGTGTATTTGTAATATTCTAATAACCTTATATCACTTTAACTTGTTATCTAACCCTTTTTATTTTACCAAATTACTTACTAAGTTAACCTTTTATAGCCTTTGGCTTATAATAAACATTTTAACTTTTTGTGTAATTGTGTTAGTTTTTAAATTATTGCCTCAGATGTCAAGTAATGTTAGATTTTCTGTAGTAATTTAGGATATATTGCATGAAATCACCAAATATTCACATTCAAAACTAAAACAATTTATACTAATATTGTTGATACATTTCATACTAATTTAGCTGCAGTTGGGTGAATATTAAATGGAACAAAGTAAATCAAAGTACCTTTTTAAATAATTAGGAATTTAATCTGCATTATAAATTTTATGACCACACATACAGTATGATGGCTTGCCATATGATCATAATGTAGAATTATTGATTTCTTCATTGGTCTTCAAGATTTTGTTCTTTGGGTTGTGGGCTCTTCTCCAACTTGCTTGTCTCCTTACACTTTAGGAGATGGTTAATAATTATTGTCCATTCTACACAAACACACATAATTAAAATGAAAAAAGTTTCTATCAATCGCCCTGTGCTTGCTATACAGGAATTGGAAAACAAATAAAGTTTTTATTATATTATCTTTTTTCTAAGTCCAAAATCATTTTTGGAGATTTTTAGGCATAGGCTTTTAAGGGAAAAAAACGTACCTTTTGTTTCCAGCAAGCATTGTCATCTACATTGTTTAAATAAAAATTTGGGGAAAATTTTGAGAAAGTATTTAGAATAGGACTTAAGATCTGAAAATAATTTTTTGTAGCATGGACAAGACTTATTAATGTCTACCTCAATAAGCAAATCATTGAAAATTTTATTGTATGTATTTGCTACCATGACATCTTGACTGCTTAAACAGCCAATGAATGAAGATTGACAAGGATTTAAATGAAGAAGAATATGAATTTAACTTTTTTACTCCTATGAAATAAATTCATATTTACAAATTTTGATTTTCTGAAACTAGACAAATACTTTTAAAGGCTGAGTATGACAACTTCTGCACCTCACCAAGAAGTCAAAGCACAGTTATGTGGATTTATCATGACAACATTTTTATTTTAATCATTGTATTTTGTATTTAGCATTGTATTGTGGCTACTTTAAAACTTGTTATACATTAAAGTTCTTTGGGGTTTTTTTGAATATTTTATCCTAGAACTATTAACATTAATAACAATTTGAAGTAGTTTACACAATACCTGTGGATTTTATTCTATTTTGTTTTATGTTTAAGTCAATTTTAGTTGTTTTACTTAGCTTCATTGCTTTAGATGCATTCTCTGTATTATGGGTTAGCAAATCTTGCATTGGAGCTAAATTTAAAAACAAGTCTCTGACTCCACATAAAGCTCTGAAAATGCAAGTTGTTCTATATATTAATATATATTATTCACTTCCCTACTTACAGTACAGAAATGGATAGTATTTCCGCAAAAGATATACTATGACCGATGAGCGTTTTAAATAGCTATAAACAGTAATTTGTTTCTGATTTGTTTCTGATTTCCCAAAACACGTTTCTAGAGGATATCAATACTTTATGTCTCCAAGTATCTAAATCCCTTAGCTTTAGTACAAAACAACCTCTGAAGAATATAGTAACCATATGTGTTGATCTCTTATTTTTCTAACCAACCTTTCATAAGAAATGACTGGAATGGCAACAAGAAAATGTTTTTTTTTTAAGTTTTTACTTCTTAATATAAAGTTTTGTTTTATTGATGAATACAGGTTATTTTTACTTAAATCAATTGATTTAAAATTTACTTTGATTAAAAAAGCATATAAAGCCAGTCATTTTTAACTCTTAATACTTTTTTAAAAACTTTAACTTACTATACATTCTATATAAACCTAATTCAACTCAACTAAATTTATTTTAAATATTTAGGTGTCAGACAAAGAGAAAATTGACCAACTTCAAGAAGAACTTCTGCACACTCAGGTAATTCTGAAAAGAAAAACCATGAACTTTTTCTTACTATATTCTAGTATAAATTTGGTGATGTAGAAATTTATTTTTTCAACAAAGAAAAATTTGGAATGGCTTAATAATAGAACCTTATTATTAATAGATTCAAAAGCTAATTGAGAAATAAGGCATAAAGAAAGAGCTAGATAAGTATGGAGTTACCTCATTATGTATAAAAACTTATTTTGAATGAATCTTGTGCTTCTAATTTTAATGAAAAAGGAGAAAGTAGTTTGCCCTTGTGTAAATTTATGCTTGCATTTTTACATTGATAAGCTTATCACTTAGGTAACAGAGAAATTTGAGTTGAGTCTACCACATAGTTTTAGTGAGCCATCAGGAACCTATTACTTTGCTTCTCTGAAGGCTAAAACCAATCAGATAATACTTTTCACTACTTTGAAAAACTATTCTGTTATATTTAATGATAAAATCGTTATTTTAAACACCTGTGCTATGTAATAAATAGGTAACATTGTGGTGCCAAATTGACCTATCCCTTATTCCATCATCAGTTTTTCTATATCATATCCAATAATTAAGTTATTTTTTAAATTTGAAAGACTTATCTTAGGTCTCTGTTTTTAGCAAATAAAAACAAGGATAGGTGAAATAAATAGCTACAGGTTCAATATCCCTTATCTGAAATGCTTGGGGCCAGAAGTGTTTGAGATTTCAGATTTTTTCAGATTTTGGAATATTTGCATCATACTTAACCAGTTCAGCATCTGAAATCCAGAATATTCCAACGAGCATTTCCTTTGAGTGTCATACTGGTGCTCAAAAAGTTTCAGATTTGGAGCATTTCGGATTTTGGATTTTCACATTAGGGATACTTAATCTGTAGCATATATTGAATCACAGATTTCTTTGATATATTTATTCATTAAGTCTCATACCTGACTATACGCTAGACTACTTGTGCTCTGGTGGTACCATATATATTGTTTTATGCTTCCCAGCCAGGGGATTCCAATCTACAACCAGAGGTTAAGAATCATTGGTCTCAAAGTATAGTCTCTGGAGCAGTAGCATCCCTACCTTTTGAGGAGTTTTTAGAAATGCATATTCTTGGCCCCATGCCATGCCTACAGAATTAGAAACTCTGGGAGCAGAACCCAGCAATCTTTGTTTCTAAAGGCCTTCAAGGGAATTCTAACGCATTCTAAACTTCGAGAATTATTGTTCTACAGCTTTAGGGGACAGGCCAGTAGCATATCTCTATAAGATGGCTACAAATTGGCATCTGTACCAAAGAATGTTTCCATCCCCAGAAAATATAGACCCCTAAATTGATTTCATATTTACAAAGAAATGAACCAGTAGAAATCCTATCACCCTTATATATCCATTGATATATATCCATTGATATAACCCTTTGAATTGTGTGATTGCAGGTATCAGCCACTGGGCCCTGACACAACATTATATTGGAGAGTTCATGATATAATAAACTATAGAGCTATCTGCATCAATGATGGCTGGTAGAAATATGCAAGCCACATTAGTAATTTTAAATTTGCACATTAAAAAAGAGTAAAAAGAAACAAGTGGAATTAATTTTAATAATATATTTTATTTAACCCAATTTATCCCCAATAATATCATTTCAATGTGTAGTCAGTATAAAAAAATATTAATGAGATATTTTATGCTTACAGGACTTCTCAATTCAGACCAGCCACATTTTTAAACAGCAAAGATCTAATCCTTAGATACTAGCATGCTTTTGTTGTATATACTATTGTTAGATATAAATAAACACATTTATGTAAAAATAATTTAGTTCTGCCTGTTTCATACTATATGATTCAACTATGTATGTTTTCCTTTAATTTGGCTTAAGTTGGACATTCTTGGAGTGTAGAACCATGATTTGCTATTATTTGTTCTTGAAATATTACAACAACCTAAAAAATTTTCTAAGAAATATTTTCCATTATAAAGGGCATTATAAGTTGGACATAAATAGTCTGCTGATTATATGAGAGAGTAATTTTTAATAGTTTTCTGTACATTGTTAATGTTTGGAGAAATCAAAACCAGGAATACCAATTAGAAAGGTTTAAATTTATTTGAGAGGAAAATTGGGTAGGCAGGCAACTACTTTGACAAACTGTCTAAACATTAGTCTTCTTTAAAATCTGTTTTTGTATCATTCTTTTAAATACTGATATATTATCTCTAGATGTGGTAACTTAACAAAACCTAAAAGAGTTTGAGCCTATAACTCAGACAGACCTATATTCAAAACCCTGTTCCTCCACTACCTACAAGCTGGGTGGCCTTGGTCAGGTTATCAAATGTCCCTAATTTCAAGTTCCTAATCTGTACAACCCCTGCCTCATGGGGTTTCTTTGAAGGCAAAAGGAGTTAATACATGTGAAACACTTAGTAAAGGGCCTATCACATAATGCATGCTTAGATACTGCTATCTATTATTATTTTTATTATATCACCTTAATTAAAATATAAAATAATGTGGGGAATGGGAAGAATTTGAACTTTTATCAAATGATCCTATAATAGAAACTTAAAATTTTGATGTACTAGGAAGCATTGCTTCTTAGACTGTACTTAAGAACTTGCTTCTTTAAATTCTTATAGTTTTAGTATTTTTAAATCATTTCTTCAATGTAAGTAACAAAGAAATATTTAAATGAAATGCTAAATTATGATATAAAATTATAATGAATTTCACTGTTTGAGATAATATTTATAATTTATCCTCTCAACATTTTCCTAGAAGCTTTTTAAATGTAATGATTCATTTTCACTAGAAGATACAAATTCAGGAATTTGGAATATTTTAATTTAGACATAGTATTATTTGTTAACCTATGTTTTTCTTTTATGGTTATATGTATTATTCTGTTACAGTTAAAGTATCAGAGAATCTTGGAACGATTAGAAAAGGAGAACAAAGAGTTGAGAAAATTAGTATTGCAGAAAGATGACAAAGGCATCCATCATAGAAAGCTTAAGGTATTTTAAGTTTATCTTAATTTGTAAAATTCTCAGAACTTTGCTACTTAACCTTGTGTGTTCATCAGTACCAGGTTTTTTTTGAGGAGCTATAAAGTATTCTATCATTCTTTTTTTTCTAATGTAATATCCTTGGGGGTTTGAGGAGCTCTTCCTATATTAATACATTTTACAAATTATAGACTCCAAAGATATGTTTTATGCTAAGCCCATTAAATCTTTATGTGTTTAAGAGTCATTTCTTATGAATCAATTTATTTTTCTGAACTATTTAGTTTATCTCTAGGCTTAATTTCTATATCTATAAAATGAGAATTATTAATTGATGGACACTTAACATCATTGCTTTACTTCTATTTCCAGTGAATGATTAGGCCACTTCAGTTTTTTAAAAACTTAACACTTTCTTCTAAGGGAAGGATTCTTAGGCATTTACAGAATATTTGAAAAAGCATATGCTGATATTGTTATCTTAGGCACATTGGTAATTACCATTAAATGTTATTATTCTCCACCATATTTGCTAAACTGAAGTAATTCTTTTAACTTAAATCTCTTATAAGTAAACAATTTATGTGTAGTAAAACTGCAGTGTAAATCATGGCACATACATTCAAAGATACATAGTTCTAGTTTAACCAACATGCATTAGGAGCTCTGACTCTAAATCATCATTATATAAAACAGATAAATAGCATGACTTATTTACAAGTGGCACCTAGTAGTTGCAAAAATCATGTCCAAATGTTAATGTATATCAAGAGTTTACCTCAGAAACTATTTTCTCTCATAAAATGCAATGTTATTGAAAATTTTTTGTTTATTTTTAGACAGATGGGATGGCAATTGTTTGCCATTTAATTATTTCTAGGCATTAAGAGAAGAAAGGAACCGGAAGCCCTCATTTTGTTTCTACCTTGGCATTAAAACTTAATTATTAAATGCTTGATTATACCCGTTTTACCAGGCCTGTTTATTTGTTCATCATACATTTATCAAATAATTACTTGAAGTTTGTTACATGCAAGGCACCATGTTCGATCCTGGTTATACAGAGAGAAACAGTATAGGATGTTTGTCCTTGATGCACTCACATTTTAGCCTGCCCAGTTATTAGGGTACATGTAACCACTCTTACTGCTTTGACAGTCTTCTTGGTGTTCAATTCTCTTGTTTTATCTTTTGGTTAGGCACTTATTTGTACATTTTCTCTGTTCTCTCTCCTCTCTCTCTGTCACACACAAATACATACACAGACATACAACCCAGACTTGGCAAAGAATAATTTCATTGTTAGTTGGTTACCTTACCCCTTACTTGACCTTTTTTGGTGTTAATGGTCTTCCTCTGTTGGGCATTTAATACTAGCTAATCAGTATTAAATAATAATTTCTCTTTGTTATTTAATTGGAAGGTTAGGAAATCCTGATTTAATGAACCTTATTAAATCAGTTTATCACTAAATAAAATAAACTGAATAAGAAGAAATGGAATTTTATTCTGTACTACTATAGTTTTTACTATGAAAATATATTTATGTAATTAGAAATAAATAATACAATGATTATGGAAAAACAGTTTGAATTTATCAGCTTTTTTTCCTTGACCCCTCTGTGGTATTTCTTTTTTAAAAATGTTTTCACTATTTAAAAAATGATTTACTGTTTTAAATGTTACAGAAGTCTTTGATTGACATGTATTCTGAAGTACTCGATGTTCTCTCTGATTATGATGCCAGTTATAATACACAAGATCATCTCCCACGAGTAAGTAAAAAAAATTAATAGATAGTAAACTTGCCCATTAGCAAAAAAAAAAAAGCAATTTAGCTTCTTAAAAATGATGTGTATATATGTATACATACACACTACATACATAACATATATACACACATAGTTATATACATTTTATATAAGATTATTCATGTGTTCCAGATGATATCTTAAGCAGTGAGTATTGTTTTGACTATTTTGGTCCAATTTAAGTACCTAATGTTTATGTGTTACTTGTATTTATGTGTCATAAAGGAAGGCTATTAGATATTTGGCATTATATATTTATAATATTTGTAATGTTAAATTACTGAATGGTGGATTAAATTAAGCATATGACTGAAATGTAACCTAATAGAATTGAAAATGTGTTTATGAAGAGGAATCTAGGTAATAAAGATTTGTAGAAAGTTAGTAATCTAGTTTTAGAAGTAGTGGTTTAAATTAGCACAAGTTGTTAAAATAAAAATTTGACTATAAATAATGGATCCAGTTAATGTTTTGCTATTTATTTTTTCAATGTAAGTACATGTATCAACTCTCATTTTTTTCATGGATTTTTAATAATTATTTCTTTAACTGTTGATACTTTAAAAGACTAAAAAACTTAGAGCAGCATTCCAAATCTATTTGCATTTAATTAGTATCAGATAAATAAATGTTATTTGTTTTACGCTAAGGTTGTTGTAGTTGGAGATCAGAGTGCTGGAAAAACCAGTGTGTTAGAAATGATTGCTCAAGCACGAATATTCCCTAGAGGATCTGGGGAGATGATGACGCGTTCTCCAGTTAAGGTAAGAAAAGGGGCCATCTGAATGAAGTTCCTTAGGGAAGTAACCACTTCATTGAGGTCTGTTTATTGTGTTAAAATGAAGACTTTTAACTAAAGAAAGAATTGATATATAGTACTTGGAATCATTCCTAGCATAGAAATCAGTAGGAGGCACAACCAGGAGGCCAGTGTGGCAGGAACTGACTAAGGGGAGACTGGTGGGAGAGGATGTCAGAGGCCCAGAGGGAGGCCAGGCTCTACTGAGCCATTATAAGGCCTTTGGATTTTATTCTGAGTAAGATAAGTGAGAAATTGAGTGGAGAATGAGAATATTGGAAATAGAGTCAGTGAATATAGATAATTTTCTGATTTTATTGTAAAAAAATGCAGAGATATGGGGCAGTAGCAGTTGAATTATGTTGAGTAAAGGGAAGGTTTTAAAGATATTTGTGTGATGATTGTAATGATCTAGTAAAGAGAAAGAAAATGATGCAAGAGAGAGGGAAAAATTGCAAGAGCAAAGTTACTGAGGTGAAGGAGGCTGGGATTCAGTGTACAAGTTGCCCATATATAAAAACACTAACGATTCATCCAGGGTCGCGGGAAGAATGTATATAGCTACAGAATCTTTCATTGAACAGATATTTATCGAACACTTAATATGTACCAGCAGCCAGGCATGGTGGCTCACACCTGTAATCCCAGTACTTTGGAAGGATGAGGTGGGAGAATTGCTTGAGGCCAGCAGTTTGAGACCAGCCGGGGCAACATACCAAGACCCTGTCTCTACAAAAAGCAAAAAAAAATAAACGTATCTGGGTATAGTGCCTATAGTCCTAGTTACTTGAGAAGCCTGAACCCAGCAGTTTGAGGCTGCAGTGAGCTGTGATCGATTGTACCACTACACTCCAGTCTGGGTGACAGAGTGAGACCCTGTCTCTAACCAAAAAAAAGTGCCAGCACTGTTCTAGGTAACTTGTTGGTTAAAGCAAGAAAAAAAAATCCTTTCCATAATGGAGGATACATTCTAACAGACAGAAAATAAATAATAAACATAATGAATAACTAAACTATATAGTATGTTAGAAGGTGGTAAGTGTGCCAAAAGGAAGAAATAGAGCCAAGCAAGGGGAATGGAAGCCAAATTATTATATCAAGGTCCCAGGGTGTGCTGGTCAATTGCATTGATAATGTAGCATTTTAACCAACATTTGCAGAAGTGAGGGAGATCATCATGTGGATGTCTAGTGCAACAGTGTTAAGCAGAGAAAATAGCTAGTATAATTGAAGTGGCTGGGTGGCTGTCATATTCAAGGAATAACAGAGGCCAGTGTGGCTAGACCAGAAGTGAAGAGTAGTAAGTGGTGAGGTCAGAGGGGTAATGCAGGGCAGGAAGAAGAAGATCATTAGGGTCTTATAGGACATTGTACAGACTGTGGTTTTCCTTTTGAGTAAAAGGGGGAGCCAGTGCCAGATTTTGAGTAAGAGTAACAACATTGCCTTTTAAAAGGCTCTTGCTGCTCTATTGAAAACAGATGTGGGCAAGATAGATATAACCAGGGAGACCAGGTGGGAACTATTAGGGTATCCAGGTGATTCTTGGACTAGGAAAATAGCAGTGAAGGTGATAAGAAATGGTTGGATTATGAATCTATTTTGAAAGTAGAATCAACAGGATTTCTTTACAGATTTGATATAGGAAGAGAGAGAAAAAGAATGTGTCAGTCATCAAGGATGGCTCCAGAGTTTTTGGCCTGAACAAATTAAAGGATGTGGTTTATATGGGAATGTCTGTGAGTGGATCAGGTTTGGGATAAGATCAGGAGTTCAGTTTTGGACTCGCTGAGGGGTGATGACAATTAAGTAGTTGGATATACAAGTTTGGAGAAAGGTCTGGACTAGAGACACAAATTTAGGAGTAATGCTCAAATATCAAAAATTATTTAAAGCCATGATCTTACTGGATAAGATCTCCAAGGGAGGGAATAGAGATAGAGAAGACATGGGACCAAGGATTAGATCCTGGGCACTCTCAACATTAAGAGGTTGAGGGAAGACAAAACAACAAAGGAGCGTGTAAAGCTGCAGCCAGTATGACAGGCAGGAAACCAGAGCAGTGCAGTGTACTAGAAGTTGGGTAGAGAAAATATCGATGAGGAGGGAGTGATCAGCAAGGTCAGATGCTGCTGATAGATCAAGGAAGATGAAGACTGAGAATCGATCATTGAATTTACCAGTGCAGGCAAGTAAGTGAAATGTGTGGAAGTTTCCTTCTCATTGCATCTGCTTCCTCAAATAAGCAGCCAAATCATCAGCTGTTAATTAAAGAGAATGGAGAAGAGATTGAAGATTGAGGCAGGAACAAAAAGTGAAATCTTTTCTAAGAGATAGTGGTGATTCTAGGAAGGAAGCCAAATTATTAGGATTGCTGAGTTGGACTGAACCTTGGACTACAGCTCATATCATGCTAAATCAATTGTAAAATCATTGGAAACCTACCTTTTACATTGTTAATAGCATCCTGAAGTAGTGACTGTGGATGACATTTCAGGAAGGACTTTAACTTTGTTTTGGCAGGAGGATAGAGTATGGGCAGGTTTCTTTGACACAGACAAGGCTCTTCTCTTTCCAGCTTGCCATTAGTCCTCTAGCATCTACCGGAGCTTCTCTTTGAGGGACAATGAGCTCCAGGTTTTTCTTACCCCAGAACAGTGAAAGTGCCAAAATCTTGACTTAGCACTTTAGCCTCCTTAGCAATTTCTTTCTGTTTGGTTTCTTAATACATGAATGCCTTGAAGGGAACTTGTGCCCAGGATATAGGGCTTAGTTTGGGGAGGTTATTTTTGCAGTCCGTTTTTCTCGGGGATCATGGCACCTTAGGTTGTGGCTCCTTGATAACCTTGAATTCCAGTTTTGTCTGCTAAACCCAATGAAACTGCTATAGATTTTAAGCTTTTTACTTGGGCCTCTGCCTTGTGCCACAAATTAGCAAGTGCTCTGATGGAAAATAGCTGCAGGAAAATCCTTACAAAATCCTTTGGGATCATGGACTCCCAAGGCTGGGCTGCTGGGATTGCTTTCAAACAGCTATTTTTTTAAAAATCTAGCCTGTTTAGCTAATCTCAGTGGAAGAAATTGTATTTTTTAAAGTAAAATAGAGTAATTACAGAAAAGCCGAAAAGTTACAGTTGAAAAGTTAAGGAATGTGAAGTTCATGAAACTGCTGATTATTAATATACATTGCTATAAAATGTCTTGCCCAAATATGTATGACTCCTTGGGTGAAGCCTGCCTTAGCTTCATTGTACTATTCTCTTCTGTGGCACCCTGGGTTTTGCCACTCTCATTATGTCTGTGTATATTTCTTTCTCCCAATATATAGTAAAATCTAAAACAAAGACAGTCAACTCTTTGTGTTTCCCCACCTACAACACCACATAGTTCACTCTCAATAAATAGACATTGAATAAATGAATTGTCCTTTACCTAAATTCATCTTTGAAGTTAAGTGCAAGATTTTGTGCTTATATAATATTGACTTGAGAAAGAAAGGGATGAGCAGCAGCATTTTAGATCATAAAAGAAATAAAATAACCAGAAATCTGGTTGGGAAATCACAATATGTGTGACATATGTGTTAACAATACAAATACAAAATTATTGTGTGCTCATAACTATCATGTTGACAGCTCCAGGGAATGCTCCTAAAGTGTAGTGTGAAGGGACTCACAGATTTGTGCAATGTGGTGGCCCTGTGTAGACCATATAAGTGCTACAGGAATTAATTAATTGTAAATGCATTATTACATCTCAGTTTTCTATTACTATTAGGTGACTCTGAGTGAAGGTCCTCATCACGTGGCCTTATTTAAAGATAGTTCTCGAGAATTTGATCTTACCAAAGAGGAAGATGTAAGTAGAATTCATCTAAGGTTCATATGTGTAATTTTATAACTGTTAAAAGCTTATAAAAGATAATTAAATGTAATATTTGTGAACTAAGATTTTCTTAGGATTTTGTTGTTTTCTGTTAATAGCTTGCAGCATTAAGACATGAAATAGAACTCCGAATGAGGAAAAATGTGAAAGAAGGCTGTACAGTTAGCCCTGAGGTAAGGATTGTAATTTATTTCAATAATGTTTTATGGAAATCCAGTGGTTATGATTTCAAATAAATCATAATATTGGTATTGATGTTTCGATTACAGCTGTTCTGAGATACATAGTTTTTTTTAAAAAAATTCCAAATGTATCATTTTGTGGATAATTTTCTAATAACTATTTTAGGATCAGAAAAAGAATACATTTTTTACTAAGTAGGGTATCCGAATGGGTGACATATAGAATTTTCAGAATATATATTGCCAAACAATTTTTAACAAATTCCCCTCAAAAATTAATGTTTTTTTTTTCTTCTTGAGTAGACCATATCCTTAAATGTAAAAGGCCCTGGACTACAGAGGATGGTGCTTGTTGACTTACCAGGTGTGATTAATGTAAGTATATACCAAACATGTATCTTATTTTATTGCTGTTGTGGGAGACATTTTTAATGACATTTAAAACCTTTTTCTTCAAGACTGTGACATCAGGCATGGCTCCTGACACAAAGGAAACTATTTTCAGTATCAGCAAAGCTTATATGCAGAATCCTAATGCCATCATACTATGTATTCAAGGTAAATCATATCAAAAGATTTTAATCATACTGATACACTTTCTTCTTTAGCATTACAGGGCTTTGCTATAAATAATGCACATTCTATAGACATACAAAATAAATGAGTTTTTGCCTTCTCTTCTTACTTGTTCATTTTATTAGTAAATAGAATTGAAGTTGGAAATAGTTTGATAAATTTCACTGTCAACATCATTGAAATTTTTAGTGGCTAGAATTTCTTTTCATATATAAGGTGAATGTATTAAGAAATCTTTCTTGCTATAATGTGACACAAGTGTATAGCTTGTGCTAAGTTTTTAAAGTCTACTTTGCATTTTTAAAACCCACAGTGTCATTTTTAAATTTTTTTTCAGATGGATCTGTAGATGCGGAGCGCAGTATTGTTACAGACTTGGTCAGTCAAATGGATCCTCATGGAAGAAGAACCATATTTGTTTTGACCAAAGTAGACCTGGCAGAGAAAAATGTAGCTAGCCCAAGCAGGGTGAGGGCAAATTCTTTGTACAAACTCTAGCTGTGATAGGGATTGACTATTAAAAAAAAAAAAAAATCCTTGTGGAATAATTTATCAGAAAGTAATAGTGGAATTTTTCTTGTTTCTCATTAAAAACAAAGTGCTAGAAAATTATAGTAAATTACTTAAGTGCAATTTTGAGATATAAATAAAATTTTATAATTATAGTTAATTATGCTTCAGAAGTACTTAAACTGCTAATTTGCTTACCCTAATTTAATTTGAATAATTTTATATGCTGGCATATTGTCATTAACTTCATTTGTTGTGTTTCTTTTTTTTTTTTTAAGTTAGTGATAGTATAGATTCCCTAAGTTAGTGATAGTATGGATTCCTTTTGGACCTTATATTGCAGATAAACATTCCTTTCCCTAACTCATCACAGACTGTTTAGCAGATTTTTATAGTAGAAAAGGCATCAGATTGGGAGTCGGGCTCCAGCATTCTCATCCATGCTCCATCACCAACTGGCTCTATGTTGTTGAGCAAACTTTGTTTCTTTTCTAAATCTAATCAATGCAGAATCTAACCTGTTAGTCTAGTTGACTAGACTAGGTCTAAAGTCATTTTCATTCCTGAAATTCTATGAGTTCTATACATAGTGTTCATTGTCTTTTATCTTAGGGAAATGTATTTTTAGAATTATTTCACTGAAATCTATAATCCCTCTCCTCTTTCTTCCTCCTTTAACAAAGAAAGAGTTTTATTTCAAGGTAACATTGTGTACAAATCTTATTAGGGTGAAAGTTTTGACTCAAGACGTGCTCTCTATTTAATTGTAAGGTCATGAGGTAGTAGTTATGAGTACAGATTCTGTAGCCTCATGCCTTAGTATTAAATCCTGGCTCTACCATTTGCTAGCAGTGTAACCTTGGGTAAATTATTTAACTTTTCAGTGCTTTAGACTTCCTTATCTGGTGGAAATTAAGATATTAATGGTTCTTTCTCATAAGTTGTGAAGATTTGATGAGTTAAATATATGTTGTAAAGTGGTTAGAATAATGCTTGGCATAAACGTGTTATATACACAGAGGCTGTCATGTGTTATTATATCATTATCCTCCATAGAACAATATCAACTGACTTTATGTACCCATCCCCAGTGATACTGCTTAGAATTTCTCTTCTTGCCACCTTAAACTTTCTGAGATGATGCCTCTGTCAGGGGTCCCCAAGGCAGACCAGCCCTAGGTTCGCTGTTTCTTCAGAAGGACTCACAGCACATAGTCACACTTACACCTAAGATATATAACAATGAGAGGATAAAACAGAATCACCAAGGGAAAAGCCATATGACGTGAAGTCTGGAGGAAACCAAGAGTTTTCTCTAGTAGAGTCACACAGGGCATGCTTAATCCCTCCAGCAACAAGTTGCTCAGTAGAGACTCAGCACCTAAGATTTTTATTGGAAAATGGTCATGTAGACACTCTTGTGTAACAAAATTCCAGACTCCCACAAGGAAAACATATGTTCAGGATAAATCACATAACTTGCACAATGAGCCATTGTTACTTAGGGAAAGTTTTATATCAGTGTAAGGAGTTGTTTACCCATTTAGTTCCCAGATACCAGCCAAAGGCAAGCAGGCCTTTTTAAGGATAGCAGTCTCAGGCCTGCTGTGCTAACTCTTCTCTGCACAGCCTCCATGACCTCTGCTCTGCCTTACTTTTAAGGAGAAGACTTGCTTTGGCAGTGATAGTCCTGATAAGGAGAAGGAAAGTGAGGTAGAATTTCTATGGTCTCTTCCATCTCTCTCTATTCTTTTCAATTTTTTTTGAAGTGCAATTGAAACTTACTACAGTCCTTTTTATATCAAAGATCCGACCCTAGCTTCAGTTATAACTTGTTCTAACAACAAGGAAGGATTCTCACCCCTATATTAATCTGAAGGGGCTTCAGGGAGAAGAGACTTTTTAATGTTGTGTGGGAGCAGTAGATCTCTGTGCAAATACACATTTTTCTGGGTACAGAAACTATAATTTTTATCACATTTAGAAAAGGATTGTTGACCCTAAAAGAGTTGAAAACCAATGGATCCAAATATTTAAAAAGAAGGTGAGGGGGAGGAAAAGGAGGAGGAAGGAATAAAAGAAGACAATCCAGTTTGGTAAGAATTTAGGTATTTAAAGAAAGTATAGGGAAATAATATTAATAACTATCATTTATTGAATACTTCTACATGTGTGGCATTGTGCTAAATATCGTCATATCCCATAATCATTTCAACAACGTTTTTGAGAAAGTTAAGTCACTTACTTAAGACCACATAGCTGCTAAGTGGCAGTGCAGGAATTTAAATGCTTTTGTACAGATTTATATATTTAACTATACATGTATAGTTATTAATGTATATATGATAACTATATGATACATAGTCATTAAATTATTTTGCTTTCTAGATTGTATATTATGCTCTTAAAAGTTATGTAAACTACATCTCACGTTTATTTTTACTACTTTTTAAAATAGATTCAGCAGATAATTGAAGGAAAGCTCTTCCCAATGAAAGCTCTAGGTTATTTTGCTGTTGTGACAGGAAAAGGTATGCAAAGATGTATTCTTATAATTTGGTTTTAGTTTTTGTTATTTTCACATAATAAAGTTTACTTTTCTTGGTGAAATTTGGCCACCATCTTCCCACAGGAAACAGCTCTGAAAGCATTGAAGCCATAAAAGAATATGAAGAAGAATTTTTCCAGAATTCAAAACTTCTAAAGTAGGTGTCTTGTTAAAATATTTAAACATTTTACAGTGAAGGAGTAGCTTAAATTAAACTGTTTTTACTTAAAAGTTCATGTTTTATAGCTGTTAGTTTAACATTGAATTTCTAGAATTTTTCCCAAATAGTGATCTGTATCTAATAAGCAAGTTCTTAAGCTACTCTTTGACAGAAGTAGGAGGAGTTTATCCCATGTTACAGTAGATGCTGGCATAATAAACTATGCTTTGGGATGAGGGCACTGAAGTGTAACACAGATAACACAGATAACTCATTTAACTTACAAAGTGACTTAAAAACCAGCACTTTCATTTCTAAATATGTGTACACATTTCTGTTACAGTGTTAGGGAAAGTCGGAGTGGAGGGTGTCAGAGGAGTAGTATCCCTAAATAGATATTGGCAGAAAATAAGATATTGACCAAAAAGCAAAAAGGAAGAGCTAAAGGACAATTGAATTACTATATACTAAACCTTTATATGTAGAGAGGTTCTGGAAATAGGAAAGTATGTTTGCTTCTAGATTAGGATAGTAAATGAAGATAGTTCTTGCAAACTTAGTCTTGCATGTTATCTGTTGGGAGGGAACTGACAAGCGTATAGAACTATGCTATCCAATATGGTAGTCACTAGTCCTTTGTGGTTATTAAAATTTAAACCAGCTAACATTTAGTAAAATTAAAAATTCAGTTCCTCATTCACACTAGCTACACGTTTCAAGGGCTCAGTAACCCCATCTGGCTATTAGCTACCATATCGAACAGCTCAGATACAGAACATTTTCTTTATTACAGAGTTTTATTAGATAGCATTGGTATCGAAGATATAGTGCATATTCTCACTATAACAAGTGCATTCTCAAACTTGGTGGTAATACTGGTGTCTCTTTTGCCATTTTAATATACTTTAGCTTTTATTTTTTTATAGGACAAGCATGCTAAAGGCACACCAAGTGACTACAAGAAATTTAAGCCTTGCCGTATCAGACTGCTTTTGGAAAATGGTACGAGAGTCAGTTGAACAACAGGCTGATAGTTTCAAAGGTAAGTTGGTTTTTTAAAATAAGCAAACAAATTCAGACATTTTGTTAGCTGTCAATCTTTAGCATTCATCACATTTTGTGCTCCTTTTCTTTAACAGTTGCTTAGTAATTCATTCACTATTAGACAATATATAGAAAATGAAAAAATGCAAATCTTCAGTTGTACAAGAGTAGGGTTTTTCCTTTCAGAGGAAAATTACTAGTGTTTGAGAAAGCTTAATGAACTATAAAGAACTTGGATTTCCCTCTTTTTAAGGAGAAGAGAGGAAACATGTTGGGAAGCAGAGCACTCTGTGGTTCATTTACATTGTACTGTTTCCTGAATTCCTTCTCAGTGTCTTTGCTTTCATGGTTTTATCTGATGAGACTATACTCTCCTTCTCTTTTCCCATATGGAAATCCTACCTATTTATCCCATTTAGTCTCTCAGCAACCTTGTAAGTATTATTTTTATTGCCATTTTATAGAAGAGAAAACAAAGAACAGAGTAACTTACCCAAATAACTTACCAGTATCGGACAGCAACAGATAATAGATCCAGGATTTGGATCTTGGTGGTATGACTGTAGAGTCCGTTGTTTTAGTGGCTATACTGAACAGCTTCAGCTGTGTGTTTGTGAATTGAAAATGGAGAAACTGGAATCAAGGAGAATTGTTTAGAAAGCTATTGCAATAATGAAATTCTGAGATGCTAAGAGCACAGAGTACTAAGGAGCCATAGGCACACCCTAAGAAATTCAGTTAAGACTGTCGATTTGCCAATATAGCCTTTAACCACTACAGCTGGAAAGAAAGAATCACCAAATTTGAACATTTCCTTCTTCCTCAGCAACACGTTTTAACCTTGAAACTGAGTGGAAGAATAACTATCCTCGCCTGCGAGAACTTGACCGGGTAATATTTGGGTACCTCATATATTTTGTATATATCTTGACTTAATATTGTGTTCTAACACAATTTTTGTTGATGGAAGATATCTGGTAAGCTAAATTGCTTTGGTTTTGACTGTACTAATTTAGAGCTGCAAGAATACATAACTAGAAGCAGTTGTCTCTTCTACAATAATTTAAATTATTTATTATATAACATTAAAAATAATTAGGAGCTAGGTACGATGGCTCAGGCCTATAATCCGAGGACTCTGGGAGTTTGAGGAGGGAGTATCGCTTGAGACTAGAGAGATTATAGTGAGTTATGATCTCGCCATTGTACCTCAGCCTGGGTGACAAAGTGATATCCTGTCTCTAAAAACAAACAAATAAAAATGACAATTAGAGATCATAAGATGTCAAAACAAGTGCTTAAAATATTAGTTCTGAGAAGGTAAAGAATATTCTTTAAAGGTCTTATAAAATAAATGTATTTATGTAATCTAAAATTTTTTATCAACTTTTTACCTTAAGCATTTACCTTGGAGAACTACATTCTAATATTATGGGAACTAAATATTGTTTTTCTTTGATTTTAAAATGATGTTTTTCCTTGATTTTAAAATGACATTAGTTGTAAAACACAACATTAATTTACTGTTACTGATGGACTAAATTAACATGTATTGACTCTTTCACATAAGATTATGTGAAAATCTTATGTGAACAAATATTATGTGAAAAACTGCATTCAGAATTGAGTAAATAAGGTAGACATTTATGTCAGTTTCTTTGTTCTTATCTGGATCATAATAGCATTCCTAAAAAAAGAGACTAGAAGAGCGTTTTTCTAGTCATGCATACTGAAAGTCAAACTTAGCCTACTAGCTATCTCTGAAAATCATGACAGGGCACATTTACTATTCTATGGAAATCTTACTTACTTGTCTCTGTATTGCCTAGAATGAACTATTTGAAAAGGCTAAAAATGAAATCCTCGATGAAGTTATCAGTCTGAGCCAGGTTACACCGAAACATTGGTGAGTATTTGACTTTGATATTAATCTCTTTCCCCACACACTTTACTGTATGAGTTATGATAAAAATACTAAAACTCAGATTGATAAAGTATTGGTGTAGTGTTGCCTTGGCTCATCTCTCAAAGCACTTAGTATGTTGGCAAAAACATGCAAGTATGTCTTTTTGCAAAATGCAGCCATTATTATAGTCTAACCAATTGAATTTCTGGAAGTTAGCTTTCTTTCTCCATGTCCTTTTTAAATCTTGGTTAATCTTTGGCCTTTCTTTATCTTATACTTAATAAATACAGAATCATGATTTCTATAAAATCATTTAGGCAAAATTTCACCAAATAGTGCTTTATATAAATGTTAAACATGTGTCAGGACTGGTTGCTCTTATTGGATTAATCATTGAGAACAAAACTAGAGAAAATTGACTTGCAAAAGGAGAATGGTATATATTTTCAAGTTCTCATTCCTGAGGAAGAGCAGTTATTACTTTCTGTGACATGTGCCTAATATGTTGTATATAAATCACATTTTGAATTGAATCATATTTGAGATTTTTTTAAATAGCAGGCACATGCATCCTTTTGAAAAATTCTCATGCAAATTTCTTTTAAGTCAAACTATCACATTCAATTTATGTTTTATGTAAATTTGGCCATTCTTAAATTTGTTGGAATGGGGCACTTTAACGAAATAGATTCTATGTACTGCAAACAAGCTGTGTATAAGTAGCCTTGAAATTTTTGCAGCCATATTTTAATTAACAAATTCCTTGTTAACAAATTAACAAATGCATAAATTATATTTCTAATAAAATCTGATATTTTTAAGAATTTATCATTCATGGAGCAGAACTATCCTTACTGCCATTTATGATAAATCTTACTTCTTCTATGTGCTAAGGTAAAGGGTATCAAAATTGAGCCTAGACAGTAGTATCTAGTCCTTAATTTTGAATTTGATATCACTAGTTTCCTCATCTTGGTGCCCTTTCTTCCAAAGTGTTGAAGTAGTCAAAATTTGCGTATTTTTAATCTTATTTATCCACAAAAAGAGATCTGATATTGTTAATACTTGTTGGTTGATTAATCAAATATATATATATAACACAACTTATATTTGCTATTTGTATTTTAAGCCAGTTCTATGGCTTCATGAAAGTCAGTTAGTTTTTAAAGTTACAGAGGACATATAGATGTATAGATATGTGTGTATATGTGTGTATGTATATATACATGTATGTATGCATATATACATAGATATATATGTGTGTGTGTGCGTACATAGATATATCTATTGCAATGACCTAGCAAAGCAACTAGTATTGTATTCATTCTGTGTGTCCCACATAAAATGAGTATAATACTAGTTGTTGCCTTGCCTAGGTTATATGAGGGTAACGTACATAAACAGTGATTTATAAAGTATAACAACTAATAAAGCTATTTATAGGAGGGAAAATGTGATCCCTTTGTAAATTTCTGATATCAACACATGGAAAGGTTAGTATTGTTTGAACAGAGCAATCCTGAAATCAAAATATTCCTCTACTAAAGTCGCCATTGAAGACAAACCTAATTTATTTAGTACACAAGTGGCTGAAAGGATTGTGAAGGGATAAGAAATTGTACTACCAGATTACCCGTTGAAAAGGCAAGGGAGAACTAAGACATCTGGCTGCTCAAAATTGATTTCTGTGAGCTGCCAGATCACATGATTCTCAATCTTTTCATTGCCTTTTTTTTAGACTCTAAAGCTTAACACAAACATAAATCAGAATAGCAGGTCCTTACCTTAACTATTCATGCCACATTGAATTTACCTGCATTACACCCAAAACATTTTTATTTTTGTGACATAGGTGATGTTCTTTTAGGAGTTTTTATTAGCATCTTTTTGCTTCATAATGCTGAATGTGGTATTTTAGGACACATGCTAAGAGTGTTTATAATTATTTAAGTCACAGGACTTTAATTTACATTTGGTGATTCAGCGTTATAAGCATTTTATGTCCTGCAATGATAATTTTTTATTTATTTATAGACATTCTGTACTTTAGTTATATTTTAAGAATGTTATTGGGGGTTTATATTTGACATATAATGCATTATAGTGGGAAATAGGCTCTTGCATTTTATACAATATGCCTGGTTTTCAAGATTTAATTAGCTGACATTAAGTAGGAGATATCAATATATCATTAACATTATGTGACCATCACTGTAGACATATCTCTTCTGTAAGAATAGCTGGATAGCTTTTTAGAAATGCTTTTTTTAAAAAGAAAAATTGGTACTGTGATATGCATACAATGTTTGGAGAGAAGTATTACATTTATTTTTAATTAGTTTAAAAGAATGAAAGGAAAATGGAAAAGCACAGTCAAGTACCCTAACTGAGGTTTGAAAATTAAAGATTGATTTGTGATATCATAATCTGACATTTAAAAGGTACAGGCAGGGGCAGAAGAGTTGCAAAGGCCAGGAGGTGAGAAGAAGAAAGGAAACACAGGTAGCTGTGTCCTATGGCTTTAGCATAGATGGAGGCAAGAGGCAGGAGATAAAACAGTAGAGTTAGCAAGATTGTTAAGGTTTATAAACCATGTTCAAAAGCTTAAAATATACCCTGTGAGCAATAGGGGTCACTAAAGAGGATTAGGTCAGGTTTGCATTTTAGAAAGATGTTGGTAGTATAGAAAATGGAATACATGTGGAGAAAACTATCAGCAACAAAGCACTTGTTGCAATAATTTAGGCAAGAGGTAATGGTGGCTTGAACTTGGATAGGGATGGTGCAGGTAGAGGAGTAGAGACTTTTGAGATATTTGAGAGGTTATCTAGGAGACAGAATTGACAGGATTTAGTAATTGGATGTGTAGGTGTGAAGAAGAGCCCATTACATAAATAGTAGATTTATATCCAGTAATTACATGGCTCACAATATATGGGAATGAAGATAATACTTGACAAAGGTGAACACATGAGACTGTTCACCTTGGTTTTGTTTATACTTATATACTTAATATATACTATATACTATATATATACTTATATATTATATTATATATGTTATATTATATATACTTATATATTATATTATATAGTATATTACTTATACTATATACTATATATACTATATATACTTATATACTTAATATATACTATATACTATATACTTAATATACTTTTAGATTAAAAAATATTTATAAAACAATGTGTTTAACACAGCCCACTTGTAAATACATACACCCACACAAATATTTATATAATCATTATATTCTTTTAATGATAAATTAAACTGTAGATAGTGGTTATCACCTGAAAAGGGAATTATGGAGGACTTCTTTTTCTGTATTGGTTGAAATTATTATATAGAATAAGTCCTCTGCTTTAAAAGAAAAAATTTCTATTTTGAATTTTTAAATAAAATGGAGTGTAGGTAAAACTCCTGGAAATAAAGGAGGTAATAAAACTACAGTGTTAATTGCACTTTGTATATTTGTGGAAGTTATGCCTGGTTAGTGGCAAAACCTAGGCTAGAAAGGATGTCTATAATCATATAGAACATAGGCTAGGGAAATTGGTAGACGATAGTGACGAGTAAGGAGAGCAGATGTTATAACCAGTGGGATGGCCTCAGAGTCCTGGGATTTTTACGTGAGAGTTGAGGAAGAGAGATTATGGAGATTAGAAGAGAGATTATGGAGTGAGGAGGATGTAGCTTCCACTTCCTAACTCTGAAGTCCATTCAACTAGTGAACAGCTTCCACTCAGCTGAATTTGAGAACAATCACTGTCTTTAAGGGAGAGCCAGAAAATATTTGGAGATAAAAGGAATATTTGTCACAGAACAGGGTATGGGGAGCACAATAAAATTGTTGTGATGGAAGGGATCAGTGGGAGTCTGGGACAGGGAACAGCAGCTTGGTGATGAAAAGGAAGGAGAGGCCCGGCAAGGGTGGGTAGCAACAGCCACCTCTGTGGTTTGGAAAGCAGCAGCCTCTTTTCAGAATGTTACTTTAGGCTGGTCAGGATTTGGTAGTCTGGATTTTCCTTATGATTTCCTTTGAAAGGGTGTCTAGGATATAGACTCTTTGCCCACAGACTTCTAGGAAGAAATAACAGATCCAATGCCTGTTCTGAGCCAAGAGCAGAAAAAAAGCCCCATTTAGTCAGGGGCTGGATCCTGTTCAGCTTTCAGAAATCTTCTTGAGTTTTTGTTTAAAATTGTATCTGAATAGGGAACTCTGACAAGTTGCTTTTCTTTCATCTTGCTCCTTAAATTCTATCACTCTCTGTCGTTAACTCAGTGACTAAATTATCTCTGTCTTTCTGGGCCCCAGTGGTATATCCTTTCCTTATACTCTATCTTTTTTCTGATTGTAACTGGAAAATGATCTGAAAGCTAGCAAGGAGAAACAAACTCAGGGATTCAGTAGACTTAATTTAACATAAAATGTTTAGTAAGTAGTCTTGAGCTAGGGAAGGGGGTATTGACTCTACTCTCTGAACAGAGTTCAGCTTGGCTTTTGGACAGCCAGGATATTGTTGCTACTCTGATATTGTTGCTATCCTATAGGGTTGAGGTTACTCTTACGACTGACCACATCATGAGCACAGTATTTTTTTATGTTGTAGTATTCTATTACAGTGGAAATTATTTGGAGAGAACCCAAATAAATATTTTCTTGAGATTTCAGGGGTTTTTTTTAATTAATTAAAATAGTTGTCTTTTTCTTATTTAGTGCTCTGTTCTTATGTCTCTTAAAGCAGAATTCTCATTATGATTATATATCTTTTATACTGATACTTTAATCATGAAATGTTGAAAAACTTTATCTAGCAATACCCCATAACTAATCTGTATGCTTTGTGCTGTGGTCTGATAAATTATAAAACCAGAAGTTTTCAGTCTTGGACTCCACAGTAAACACATAGAAAGTATGTTTTAATACTTGACAAACAAGCACATGAAAAGATGCTCAGATTTATTAGTCATTATAGAAATGCTAACTAAAACCACAATAAGATACCTCTATAAACCTACTAGAATGACTAAAATTAAAAATGACAGACCTCACCAAGTGTTGGCAAGGATATAGAGGATCTAGAACTCTCATTCTCTCCTAGTGGGAGTGTAAAATGGTGCATCCATTTTGGGAAACAGTTTGATAGTATCTTAAAAAGCTAAACATATAATTACTGTATGATCCAGCTATTCCACTCTTAGATGTTTATCCAAGAGGAATGAAAGCATATGTCCATATAAAAACTTGTATGTGAATGCTCATAGCAGTTTTATTTGTAATAGCCAACAACAGGCAATAGCCCAGGTGTACATCAACACATGTGTGGATAAATTCATGCAATAGAATGTTAATACTATATAGCAATATAAAGAAGTGAAATATTAATATACACAGCATGATGAATTTCAAAATAATTGTGCTGAGTGGAACAAGATAGACAAAAAAGGGTACATACTGTATGATTGCACTTATATAAAATTCTAGAAAAGACAATTATAGTGACAAAAAGTAGATGCAGTGGTTACAACTTTTGGGGATAATGGATATGTTTATTACCTTGATTTCTGAGATTCACAGATGTATGTATATGTCAAAACTTATCAAAACCTTAAATATATTCAGTTTATTGTACATTAATACTGTATAAAAATTTACTTCAATTAAGCTGTTTTTAAAAACTTAATATTATATTTAGATTTGGTGTTACTGATACTTTTTTTTAATTTCAGGGAGGAAATCCTTCAGCAATCTTTGTGGGAAAGAGTATCCACTCATGTGATTGAAAACATCTATCTTCCCGCTGCACAGACCATGAATTCAGGAACTTTTAATACTACAGTGGATATCAAGCTTAAACAGTGGACTGATAAACAGCTCCCTAATAAAGCAGTAGAGGTTAGGATATAATTTAATTAAATGGGTAAGAAGCATTATCTGAAGGGAGTAGGAGCTGTGAATTTTAGGTTTTATTCCCATCGTAGGCACTATCTTTTTGATCTTTATACTGCATTTATTCTTTGTTCCTCATTTCTGTGTTGGGACTAACCTTAATGTTGCTACTACCAGTTACTACTGTTACAAAAATTTATTAATTGGTATGATGTTGGCCTGAGGTATTGGTTCTTCTTCCAAAAATAGCATTTAACAAAACCAGCAAAATTTGCTTGAATGTTACATATTTTAAACTTCTTCTGCAGCCAGAGAGTCTGAGGAAAATATTTAGTGGATTAAACATTTCATCTACTGATTTTCTACAGGCCCAATTATACTTAAATAATCATTTTCTTAGTTAGGATCCTGACAGAAGATTATACTGTATAAAAAACTACCTTAGAGAATCTATTTGTTACCCATGTATCTTGGCTCTACCACTTAATAGCTGTGTAATCCTTGGACTAGTTGCTTGACCTTTCTGTTTTCTCATCTATAAAATAGGGGAGGTAATATTGCCTACCTCACAGGATTGTTATAAGGATTAAATAAGTTAATATATGTAAAATACTTAGTACCTGGCCCATAGTAACTGCCTAGGAAACATAGCTGCTGCTATTATGATCATCATCTGAGTTGGTTTTTCATGCATATTACTGTATGAACAGTGATTTTTCTAGGTAAGAGTCAGTGTGTCCTATGTTTCTTTGTGAAATTGCTTACAAAATTGGAGTCAATGTTAAAAGTAATTTTGTTTTTTATGCCTACCTTAGATATAAAGTATCAGTTTCAGGTGTGATTTTATTCCTTTCCTATCCTGCTCCAGTCTTACTTTCTTTACCTGTTCTCAATTTCCTCAATCTTCTCTTTCTGTGAACTCTTGCAGCCTCTTTGCCTAAGTTGCATGCTGCTGAGCCGTGGTCAACTCTTGACACATTTACTCTTAGTTAGAGAGCTGCTGCCATCACTTCACTAGCTCTCCTCACTACTGGCACTAACATTTTTCTGGGCCCTGTCCCATGAAAAGATATTTTCATATCCTAAGATTCAAGCTGTGCAAGTGGTCATAAAAATGGCAATGATTGTGTCTCCTACAGCTTTCTGCCTTCAGCCTTAGATGTGGTAGAAAGGATGTGGCCTTGGTGAGGGGCTGGAAACATGGATTTTAATACTCACCCCACCACTTACTCTGTATTCTTGGACAGTCTCCTTTCTTTATGCCACGATTTGTTTGTCTCAAATAAGGGAAGGCTAAATACAAAATGCAACATTAAAAAGCCCACATAATTTTAAATAGATTTAGTTCTCAGTTATTTTTGACACTGCTCTTCCTCTCTGCTCCAATAATTAGGAGTTAGCTATCATACAAAGCTGAATAATACACACCTATGTTTGAAAATATTGATGCATTGCTTCATATCTTTGCTTAAAGACAAAAATGTGAAGATGATTGAATAAGAAATTTTACTTTTAAATTTTAAAATTTAAATGTGGAAGAAGCAGGCAAACTGAAATGTCTTACAGGTTGAAATAAATAAATGAACTAAATCCTGTGGCAGACTTAGAAAGCATACCTTATCTAATGAAGACAGCTCCTGTTTCACTCTAGCAGGTGGCATCTTGTAGGAATATAGGTATACCATTCCCAGATAGTTCAAGAGAAGCTGGAAATATAGATTTTTATATGAAGTTCCAATTTTTAAATATTTGCAACTAATTTTCCAAATGTAAAACACTGTGTATGTCTGCCAAAATGTGTCAGAAGGCCAAATCTGTCCCACCAGTAACCAGTGTGAGACCTATACCATAGTTTATATTGGCCTTTTTGTTTATGTAGTTGTATGTATATTTTCTGATAAGCTGATTTATCACATCTAAATTCATGTGTTATTTTCCATGTTACATATTAAATAAAAATACGTATTATACATGCAGCTTTTTTCTTTTAAATAATTCTAGGTTGCTTGGGAGACCCTGCAAGAAGAATTTTCTCGCTTCATGACAGAACCCAAAGGGAAAGAGCATGATGATATATTTGATAAACTTAAAGAGGCTGTGAAGGAAGAAAGTATTAAACGCCACAAGTGGAATGACTTTGCAGAGGATAGCTTGGTATGTTGTTTGTTTTGGGGATATCAGCCTCAAATTTTTATATAATTATCAAAAATTAATATTGTATCATGGGAGACAATTTTTATATGACTATTTAAATTATATTCTGAATTTAAAATAATGAAGTAAAAGAAATAGATTTATGATCTGTAATCAGCCCCTTTAAATATCTCTGCCTTTCTAAGATCACTGTTTGGTTTTTTTTTCTTGGCTTTCATTTCAGAAAAAAGTCAAACCCAGTGAACAGGCTCCCATAAACTTCCACAAATTGTCATCCGTTAGCCATTTCATGGGCTTATGTCTAAATAACTACTTCTAATTTTACCTTCTGTGGTAATGAAACAAACTAAATACATTGGTTTTTCAGTGGATTTGAGTCATAAAATTTTAGACTTCTAAAATCATGACACTAACTGTCATGTATTGAATGCTTCCTATGTGTCAGCAACTCTACTAAATATTTTATAAGCATCGATTTTGTTCTTAAGCAGTCCTGTTGTTGTCATTGGCAGAGCTGGGCTTCAAGCCCTGCTCTTTCTAGTCATAAAGCCTGGCTCATGACTTCCACCACCTGATAAACTTTTGCTATGTAGAAAGTTCTCACCACTATAATCAAATCTATTAAGCACCTGCTTTGCTCAGAGAGTTAGGAGAGGCTCTGTTGAATTACAGGATTGAGCAGTTTTCTAGGAAAGTACATATCTCACTGTGGGCTGGTTGTAATTATAATTTTGTTTTAAAGAAATGTTTTTCTTCATGTTTGAAAACCACATTTATTCTTGTTAAGTGCCCTATTAATATTGGCTTTCTGAGAGAATGGTGCCATTTTCATTCATTCACTCAAAACTTATAAAACTTGGAAAGCAATTTCAATTGTAATAAATAACTAACATTTATGATTGTCTAGACCTTTTAAGCATCTACCGTTACTTTTTTTTTTGGGGGGGGGGACAGAGTCTCACTCTGTTGCCCAGGCTCGAGTGCCATGGTATCAGCCTAGCTCACAGCAACCTCAAACTCCTGGGCTTAAGGGATCCTCCTGGGTAGCTGGAACTACGGGCATGCGCCACCATGCCCAGCTAATTGTTTTTTCTATTTTTAGTTGTTTGGCTAATTTCTTTCTATTTATAGTAGGGACTGGGTCTCACTCTTGCTTAGACTGGTCTCGTACTCCTGAGCTCAAGCAATCATCCCACCTCGGCCTCCCACAGTGCTAGGATTATAGGCATGAACCACCTCGCCTAGCCAACCCTGTTATTTTTTGTCATTGCTCTTACCAGCGAGATAACGGTTAATTTTTTTCTCCTCTCTTTTTTGAAAAGGCTAACATATAGGTCATATGTCAAGAAGGAGAGGTGGAAATGACCTGAATTATAACCCCTGAATTTTAGGGTTTGGGGTGTTGCATTGTTAACTGTTATATGGTTAAATGTATAATATTAATATATTTCCTACCCCTTTTAGAGATTAGCTTATTTAATTTGGGCTAGGAGAAAATCTCTGTTTATTTTTTAGATAGAAAGCTGACAAATAGGCAAATAAAAGGGGCTCCCACGTACTTACGGGAGGGACATAACTTCTATGCTGTTTTAGATATATCTCTTATTTTGCATATTTACTAAGATGTCAATTTAAATAAAATTACTAAAATGTTGAGACAGAAAACTAATAAGATTTTTCTTTCCTTGTTATTTCAGAGGGTTATTCAGCACAATGCTTTGGAAGACCGGTCCATATCTGATAAACAGCAGTGGGATGCAGCTATTTATTTTATGGAAGAGGCTCTTCAAGCTCGTCTCCAGGACAGTAAGTATCCTTAATATCATGGGTTATTGACCCAGGGTTATTGAGGGACACAGGTTATTGAGTTCTGAGTGACTAAGAAGTCATCCAGCTTTAGTGAATGTTTGTAAAAATATAATTAACATTTTAAGGTTTTTGCCATTAATATTATACTATAATTGTATATTATTTGCAGGATATTTTGGTCAACTACTTTGTACTACTTAAAAATAATACATGAATATGTGATGTTTATATGTTCTAATTTTAAAAAGCTATAATTCAAAATATTTTAGTGTGTTTGCTACTGTACTTATAGGAATTTTATAAGCAATTGTACTTTTTATAGATTCTAAACATATATGATTAAATGTTTTCTTATACGTGTGCCATATCATGTAATATTTTTTATTTCAACTTAATTCATATTGATATAGTCCTTTGAAGTAGTTAAGTAAAACCATTATTTATAATTTATGTACTTGGTAAGTGATAAAATTCTTGATGAATTAATTTTTTAAAAATGTTTCTAGCTGAAAATGCAATTGAAAACATGATAGGCCCAGATTGGAAAAAGAGGTGGTTATACTGGCAGAATCGGTCGCAAGAACAGGTAAAAACTAATCTCTGGTCTTATGACAGTATGGTTTTGTTCATTTTAATTCAAGCATTAAAGTATAACCTTTCCATGGCTCTGGACCAATCTTCAGATTAGAATGTTTCATATTAGCCTTTCTAAAATATAATGAATCTTTAGAAAAAAGAATAAATTACTTAAGTTTTTTTTTAAGTGAAGTAGTTGTATTATTAAAGAATGAAACCTGCCCCTTTTGTGGTTGATAATTCATTTCAATTCCCTATTTGACATAAAAAAGATTAAAGTTATGAACAATAAAATGATAAGGCTTTCAGAGGATGTACAATGAATGTGAGTAGAGGAAAAAAATGATATGATGACTTTTTAACCTATTCCCATTCTCTCTGGATTTTTTTGTTGGTAGTCTATTCAGATTATTTTGTTCTTTTACAGTTTTTGTTCACAAAATAAGTATAAGAATTCAGACAAGAAATAGAAGTGTAGAATTCCTTCCCATAATAAACATTTAATGAGTACTTCAGAAGAACAAAATACTAAAGTTAAATATAAATAACTTCAAAAATGAGTAAATAGATGGAAAAAATATAAATCATTGATGTCCCTACTCCCAACCTCCACCTTTTTTATGGCTTCTTTTCCTATCTACCAATCTTATATAACTGGCTCATTCTTTGTTTATTCTTTAAATGAAAGAATCTAAATAGAATATAGACTCTGGATACATAAATGAATGAAATAATGAAGAAGAGGTAGCATCCAATCCACTTTCTTTTCTTGTTTTCTTTGATCCTTGAATTCATTAAATTAGAGAAAGGAGATCAAGAAATGGAAAAATTGAGAGAGGGGAAATAAAGAGAATGAAAAATTACCAAATGACATATCACTGTTTATTTATTTTATATTTTTGTTTTCATTTTAAATGCAGAATTAAATTATGTAATCAATACCCTATTTTTTCCCAGTTTCTCACATTTCTTGTTTTATAAGTTCTCTGTCAGATGTGAGTCTCAACTTGTCTCTAAATAGTGAAGAGACAATCTTCCTTTCTCTTTTTATTCTGTTGCCATTTTTGTGGAAAATGAATCATTAAGAGACTGAAGAAAAGCTGAGGAAGTGAGCCTAGTGATTGGATCTTGCATGTGTTCAGGGTGTATCAGTTATCTCTGCTCTGCAGATGGGCTCAGAGAAGGCGATCTGTCAGAAAAGAATTTCTAGGAGATCCATGGTAGGTTTCTGACTTTGATATAGGAAGAGGCATTGATTAGAAAGAGCTGGTTTAAGGCAGATAAACTCAAAAGAAAAATGGTGTCTGGCCTTCAAAGCTTAGTGAAATTAGGCCTTAAGTATAGAAAAATCAATGCTGGCAGTACTTGCCTCAGCCACTAGTGGTAAATATGCTTTGCTAAACACTCAGAAAGACAGGACTCCTGTTTGTAAGTTATTTTTCAAAGGAACTTAAACTCATAGGGAAATCCCTTCAAGAGAAGCAGAGGAATTGGCTTTAATGTCAGTGCAAAGGGTCTGTAAGCCTAGAAGAGGAATCTAGAAACCCTTTAGAGAAGAGCTTTCTCTCCTGAGGGTTTTAGGGCAAGGCAGCACTGTAGAACAGAGGAGGCGGTGATCAGAATTGCTTGGCGGGGAGCAAGGTCAGGGATTATATATGTTGTTTTGGTTTTTCAGATTGATAAGCCAGGGTACTGTATTCTTGTTTTGTTTTGCTTTGAGACAGTCTCACTGTGTTGCCCAGGCTAGAGTGTGTGCCGTGGCGCCAGCCTAGCTCACAGCAACCTCAAACTCCTGGGCTCAAGCAATCCTACTGCCTCAGCCTCCCGAGTAGCTGGGACTACAGGCATGCGCCACCATGCCCAGCTAATTTTTTCTATATATATTAGTTGGCCAATTAATTTCTTTCTATTTATAGTAGAAACGGGGTCTCACTATTGTTCAGGCTGGTTTTGAACTCCTGACCTCAAGCAATCCACCCGCCTCGGCCTCCCAGAGTGCTGGGATTACAGGCGTGAGCCACTGCGCCTTGTATTCTTTCTTGTTGTGATTAACTTTGTGTCACCTATTATGCAATAGTAATATATTTATTAAAATTGAGACACTGTTTTTACACATGCCTGTGAACCATCTAAACACAGTCCTCTTTTAAACTTTTTAAAGTGTGTTCACAATGAAACCAAGAATGAATTGGAGAAGATGTTGAAATGTAATGAGGAACACCCAGCTTATCTTGCAAGTGATGAAATAACCACAGTCCGGAAGAACCTTGAATCCCGAGGAGTAGAAGTGGATCCAAGCTTGGTAATAAATATTGTTGAATAGCATGAATCTGCTTTCCTTAGCTTTGTTTCTTGTAGTAAAATGTTACTACTTCTAATGTGTCATTTAGATATTTCAGTGCTTAATTTGACATTAATCATATGTACATTTGCTGACAATAAAAACTTATTTTAAATGTGTGAAGAGTAGAAATTTTATTCTCAGTATTGCTTTTAAAGGGTAGCACTTCAATTTGTAAATGGAAAAACTGAAACTTAGAAAACTGGATTTACTTGGGCAAGTTCAGCACATACTTCTTACAAAAAGGACTGAAACCTACCACATCACACTGTTTCAGATTATAAAATAGAATTTCTATTTCAATATGGCTCACAATATTTTATTATATATGTATATTTATATTTTACAGTTAACTAGGTATGAGTGAATTTAGAAAAAATATAAATGTTAAGTTTTATTAAATTGGCTAAGATCTTTGGGTCTTATCTCATATGCCTCATTGGTAATAAATATGAGAATTAAAGTAGTCTACATTTTAGGCTACTTTTTGTTTACCTTCATGGTGTTTATTTGAAACAAATTAAAAAAAAAAAAACAACAACAACTGTTTCAGAGCCTGTGTTCCATCCTGCTTAGTTAGGATATGAGGGAGTGAAAACTCATTTTAATATTAGCTTAAGCGAAACCCAGCTAGAAAACTAAAACTAGTTGGGGGAGCAATCATATAAAAAATTTCAAAGCCTCAAATTCTTGTAAAGATTATCTGCTATTTACATTTCTGTACTTGAGGAATGAGTATACTGATTTTAAATTGTACCAAAGGTCAGAAAAAGAATAGAAAATCGCTAAAACTCAAAGCAGTTAGAGCTGTTATACATGCAGCATTATTTTCAACTGAAAATATGATTAAAATCAATTATTATATGATATTTTTAGTTGCATATCAATTTAATTTATCCACATTGGTCCTAGCTCTCATTAAGAATAAATACTCAGTTTGATACTTTTAAACATTATGTAGCTATTAGTGTTGATGCTTTTCTCTTGACAGTGGAAGAGAAGAGGCTATGTGTTTTGTTTTGTTTTGTTTTTTAAGTTTTTGCCCATATCTTAGGGTATGGATTAATTACTTTCTTTGAGCAAGAAAATGTTGGGTTTTTTATGCTGAAATAAAAAAAAAATTTAAAAGAAAATGTCAGTGTTTTCAAGTGACATTTTGTTTAGCGTACTTTATAAAGCCATAAAATAAGTAACAAAGTACCATAAGAAGAATGTTGGATGAACTAGATGTCAGGAGATGCGAATTCCAGTATATTTACATTACATTAGCTAGTAATATTACCTTTAGTAATTGTTATAATCTCTCTGGCCCCAATTTTCATATCTGTCAAATGGTGTTAATGATTTTTGTTCTATCTGCTCAACATTATTGTTATGCTCAAAAAAAGATAATGGCTGTGAAAGAACATCGAACACTCAAACTACATAGTAATAAAGTGGTAGGGATCGTTGGTGTGGTAGCAGTGAAATGTAGTAATCAGAAAGAAAATATTGTTGGGTTGGTGGACATGGTCTGAGACCAGCTTCCTAGTCTTTGTCCTTAGACAATGCTTTCGATCTCCTTTTGCCTTGATTTCCTTACCTCTAACTAGGGGAAGATAATCTCCACCTCATCTACTCCACAAGATGATTGTTTGACTATAATAATAGCATTTGTTTAAAATGCTGCTAATTTTTAAGTACATAAGCTGGTAATGGGTCAAAGTAGTAGTAAATCTAATCTTTGTTTTGAGAAGTAGATAAAAGGCGTTGGTAGAATAAAAACATTTCCCTTTTAATTAACTATTTTATAAATAAATGTTATGTATAACTTCTCAGTGTGGTTGATCAACATGAAGAATATATAGTAACTCTTTGATTTTTGCTTTCTTTCTCATTTTAGATTAAGGATACTTGGCATCAGGTTTATAGAAGACATTTTTTAAAAACAGCTCTAAACCATTGTAACCTTTGTCGAAGAGGCTTTTATTACTACCAAAGGCATTTTGTAGATTCTGAGGTAAGGTTTCCAAAATTGAAAAGAAATGTTTTTTGACAGTCATTGCTTAAAGATGTTTAAAAGTAAACTTCACCTTTGGCATGAATTTTAAGTCCTTGGATCATCTGGAGAAAAAAATATATATAATATATAAAGAATAATCTACCTCTTAACTTTTTAAAGATATTTGCCACTTTGTTAGTGACTGCATCTCACATGCATATCATCTCCAGTGCCTATAAGAATGTGTGTATATAAATGTAAAAAAAAAATGTAAAAGGAAGTAGTCACTTATAAACTCCTGACCTAGAAGTAATTGTAGTTAACATTTTTATGTATTTCTATTCAACTTTTTCTATATCTGAGGAAGATGTATTTATGTATGCATATAATTTAACCATTCATTTGCATAGTGGAAATCATACTTTAGAATAATTTTTATTGTACCTTTTTCATGTATCATAATTGTTTCTTCATACCACTAGATCTTATTTCAAATAATGCTTTAAAAGAACTGTATAAATTATAATTTAATGTAACATTTGACAAAATAACCCCTAGGTGGCAGCAGACTACTGTATTTTGAGTATTTTCTTACAAGCAAAAATACTTTTAAATATCCTTTTGAAAAAGCTCTGTTATCTTATTCAATTGAGACCTGTAAAATGGTTTTATTATGTTTTCAGCAACTTAAAAGATATTTATATTTAAATGCACCTATGTAAAAGTGTTAAGTTTTTTGCATAATTTTAATTGAGAAGATCTCTCTACACAATAAGCTTCTTTTAAAAAATATCGATTTATTTTTATATACAGTTGAATTTCAAAAATGACTTGAGTGTACACTCAAAGAAAAGAGGCTAACCTAAGGGCATATTTAAGAGAAACATGGTTGTTAACTGAAACTAAATATAAATTGAGGGTATGTGCTGTGAATTTCTACTTATATATAATGTAATGAAATTCTCTACTTCCCAATTTATTTGCCTTGTCATTGGAATCAAAACAAAACTATACAGGTATGGGGCAGATAGAGCTCAAATCGTGCAGATCTTCATGAATCTGTACAGAAGAGGTTCTGTAGCTTATATCTGTGGTAAGAATATATATATTAATATTAGATAAATCTAAGTATTTTTATTAAAGCTTAGGATATAGGTTCTGAGGTTAGTAGTTGTATGTGTTTATGATCGTGGTTTTCATTTTTAAATTTGCATCTTAATATTTCAGTTGGAATGCAATGATGTGGTCTTGTTTTGGCGAATACAGCGCATGCTTGCTATCACGGCAAATACTTTAAGGCAGCAACTTACAAACACTGAAGGTAAGCCACATAGGGACTGTTTTCTAATTTTAACATTAAAAAATAATAGTTACTTGAGCCCAGGAATTTGAGGTTGCAGTGAGCTATGATTGTACCACTGCACTCCAGCCTGTGTGACATAGTGAGACTCTGTCTCTTAAAAATAATAATAACAGTAATAATATCCATTTTTAATAGAAAGATGCCAGAATACTTCCCTAAAAATAGATTTGTTAGAAACACTAAAAATTATAATTTGTTTTTAAAATAGTAATGAAAATAAATCATAATTGAAAAAGATGGGATATAAAACATACTAGGAGTATATCTTCATTACACAAAAACTCTGTTAGGAATGGACTTCTAAGAATCACTTAGTTTCTTGGGAAATCTACACTTCCATTAAAGTGTTCTGTCTTAAGAATATGATATTCTCTGAGAATATGTATCAGTTTCATGCTGATAAAAGTACTGTATAACAGTAGAAATTCTCTTTATAACTGTGAGAAATACAAACCTAGAAATAGATCTAACATGATGAGAATAAATATAAACTTACTCTCTTTATATAAATAAATTTTATCATCCTTATGCATTCATAAAAACAATGCTCCTCAGATTTTTTCATTTGCTTTGAACAGTTAGGCGATTAGAGAAAAACGTTAAAGAGGTATTGGAAGATTTTGCTGAAGACGGTGAGAAGAAGGTTAAATTGCTTACTGGTAAACGAGTTCAGCTGGCCGAAGACCTCAGTAAGTATTCTTACTGCCTATTTGCCTTTCCCATTTCCATTTATTTGTTCATCCATTTAATCTCAAACTTCCAGAAAAATTACAAGTATCTTCGAGTAACTTTTTTTTTTCTATAAACTGTTTGAGAGTAAGTTGCTGACCTGAAGTACTATCACATCAAAGTACTTTAGTGTGTATTTCTTAGAAACAAGGATTTTCTCCTAGCAACCATAATGCAAACAACGAAATCAGGATGTTAACACTAATACATTACTATATTTAATTCTCAGCCCCCATTCATGTTTCACACATTGTCCCAATATTGTCCTTCCGTATAACAGGATGTTCCAGGCTCACTCCCTGACTCAGCTTCCTTTTTTTTGGAGAACAGTATTTAGAAATCAAGATCTGGAAACGAGATATGATCATTGTTACTGGAATATTGCTATTCCCGGGCATTCTCAATGGAAAAAGCTAGGGAATAAATGTTGTGTATGTGTTTGTGGACAGATATTAATACATGTGCACATATGAATACCTAATCATATGTATGTGTATATGTTGAAAACCATGAGTTGATGCTGATACTTCCACTTTTAATCCAATTCTTCAAGGTTTGTTCTTGTGCTCTCCCTTTCCATATTTGTAACTCCCTTTTCTGACTGAGAAACTTGGTTCCTAGGATCCTTACTATATTTGCTTATTTTGATCAGTCTTCCTATATGTGACCAAACTTGAATGAAGGTGTGTCCCCTACATTGCAAAAGTGGTTTTTTTCGCCCAGTTTTGACTCTTTATCACCTCATACCAGGCCATCATCACAGAGCTTCACCCTGCTTTGATACCCTTTTTACCTTGTCTAGGCTTTAGCACCCCATCCCAGTTTGCTTTTCCCTAAAGAAGTCGGTTTGACTAAGCTCATGCTCTGACACTTTGTGCCAGGCATCTCCCCATCTCATCCTTCCCACCCTTCATTTCCTGCCTCCGCCCACACACACAGATTCCTTCCTCACCTAAAGCCAGACCATGCTTTTATGGAGACACCTTCTTCATCCTGCTTGTGCTCCTGCACCAGGCACTTCTTAAATGGATACTCTCCTCATTACTGGACAAGGCTACCAACAGCCCCGTGTGAACCTCCTCTTAAGCCTACTCAGGCAGTAACACCTACAGTAGGCCACTATCCCCCCACTGCCAACCTCTACCTAGTTTGGTCTTATTCATTACTTTGTCACTTTGTTTGAGAGGATATTTGGTTCTTTCTCAAATGCTGGTGGGTTCATAGCTTTAAGATTAGATTGCACATTAAGATTTACTTCGATCTTTGAAAACCCAAGGAAATCAGTGAAATATTAATATCATTAAATAAAATGGTTGAATTTTATAAGTTTTCTGATATCTAAAAGAAGTAGATACTGCATAGAAAGAAGTTCTTATTAATAAAATTTGAAAGCAGTTTGTGTGCTGGATTTGTATTGCTACAATACAATCACTAGACTATCCCAGAGAAAGCAGGCAGGGTTCTGTCTTATGCCTGTATCTGAGCAGTGCACTCTCCTTCGTTATCCTCCCCGTGTGATCGTGTTCTCGCCCTCATTATCTGAGCTCTGCATTGCTTTCTCTTTTCCTTTACCTTCTGTCTTTAAATATTCTTTTTAAAAAAATATCTCATTTTAACTTTTCATTTTTTATCACTTTTACTTTCGTTTTTTAATACCACTTTGGCATTATAGTTAAGTTTATACTAATGTAGAAGGTCTATGCTCAAATCTGAATTGTCATTTACTAGCTGTGTTATATCAGGCAGGAATCTCCCAAACCCTTAGCTGCTTTGTTTGCAAAATGACTGCTGTAATGGTTATTTCACAGGATTGTTAGGAGAATTAACTTCAAAAACCTGGTCCCTGGTTCATTATCTTGTGCTAAATTATTATTATTACAGGAAGAGGCATGTCACTGTCACAATGTATATAAATTTTTTTTTGTATCCCCCAGGGTATGTCTATCAGACAGTGAAATACTTCAATGAATTTTACCAGCATATGCATTTTTAAGTGATTAAAAATAAGTGTCTTTCGTCATACTTTATAATAAAGCCTGTGTAACCCCATCACTCTGCACTCCCAATTTGATTATTTAAAGAAAGTGTATTACTAATTTAGATGTGTATACTGTCAAGCCAAGTCTTATGTTCTACTGTTGGTTTTCCTGAGAAAATAGTCATTTGACTGCCTTGAAATGATTTACTACTTTTGTGCATATAAAATTATGGTAGTTTAAGTACCAAATAACTAACGTCCTTGGAAGCAAAGGTTTTTACAGTGACTCAGCCTCATCAATCATACTAAAGGAGGTGAGCCATAACTTTGTCCATTATTTAAAAAAGAATCTTCAGAATGCCTTTTCTTTGCTGTTTGTCTTTGGTTTAACACTTGGGAATATGGTCATGGATACTTTCACCCAGAAAACTTTCAAAATTTAACAGTTACTAATGTATTATACAGATCAATCAAAGTTTCTAGTGTAGCCTGTTCAATTAGAATGTAGTTTGTTGGTTAATAGAGTTTGGAGAAAGGGAAGCAATCAGGCTTTTACTACAATTTCAAAGTAGTACAAAGTATTGTGTAGCTTGTTAAAATTTTGTTACATTCATATTTTTGCCAGTTTCAAACTTGCCCATAAATAAATCATTCTATTACTTTGGAGATTTCACTAACTGATTGTCCTTTAAGATGAGTACATAGGAAGTAGTACATTGTTCTTTCGTATTCTAGAGAAGATACAGTACCATGTTCATTTCTGAAGTGAAGCTATAAAGCCAGAGTTAGGAAGAACTAACTCAAAGAAATGTAAACGGCGTCTACCTCTCTTTGTCTCAGGAGGCTCAGGGGAAGAGGAGTCATACTAGAAGCTAGGACTCTTTGGAGATATGCTGGATTACACATCTGGAACAGAGGAAGGACAGGATGAGCCTGGGGCCTCTTAGGGTATAGAAAGAAAGGGAGTGCTTGAAGGATGATGAGGAGATGTTAACAGGACACAGAAGCTCTTTTGAGGAGGCTCCAGCTGACCAAACCTGGGTCAATTTGGACATCAGAACAATGACCGTAACAAATTGCAACTCACTGAATGGAATAGGAATCCCTGAATTGGTTATTATGTATATAAGTGAATAAAATTAATGATACAGAAAAGGATGTTTGTATAATCACACACACACAAAAAAAAAAAACTCCACAGAAAATACTTATTAATTAAAAGAGGGAAAAAAGTAACTTTACAGTGGCAAAGCCTGGCAATCATCACTTTAATCAAGTGTGTAGCATTAGTATTATCAATAACAGTCAAATCAAACCCATGTGCCATCTTATAAAATGCAATGAGAAGAACACTGCTTCACTTCTAGAACATATTATTACTGAAGATATATAACTCCAATCCAGTCATAACAATACATCAGACAAACCCAAATTAAGGCACAGTCTGCAAAATAATCTTATCATCTGTAATCTTCAAATGTATCAAAATCGTGAAAGACAAGCAAAGACTAAGGAATTGTTCTGGTTGAAAGACACTAATGGACATGAAAACTAAATGCAGTGTATGATCTGGGATTGGATCCTTTTGTTCTAAAGGACATTAATGGGACAATCATTGAAACTTTAATGGATCTGAGGATTCCATGAAGTTTATACATCAATGTCAATTTTCAAATTTTGATTGTTAAATTGGTATTATTTAGGAAAATATCCTTATTCCTAGCTAATACACAATAGAATATTTGGGGATGATGAGGCATAATGGCAGTAAATGTTTCAGGAAAAATAAGTTCTTTGTAGTGTTCTTGAAATTTTTCTGTAAGTCTGAGATTGTTTTCACATAAAAGGAAAAAAATGAAAGGTGTAATTTCATTTTTATAACTGATAATGGATCAGGGTCATGTGAAAGTACTTTAGAGAAAACAAAACTTTTGAAAACATGATCTCCAAAGATGTTGAAAAGGCTGAGTTACTTCATGGGCAATTTTAATAAAATATTCAGCTCATCAGTCCACCTTGATTCCTTATTTGCATTGTCTACCTACACTTAGAACTGTGTGGTGTTTAAATATGCCCATTATGACTTTCATGAAATTCTTTTGATTCTGTAGCAAGTTTAATTTTGAGGGATTTTTTAGTAGATATTTAAATATGGTGTTAACTTAGTGAAATCTATTTAGATTCCAGTGTACGTTTTAGTAATGTGTCTAATCTGTTTATTGAAATAGACTACAGTTTTAGAATACTTTCTTAGGAGAGATGAAGATTGGTATATTTAGGGTCAGTTCAAATTCTTTCTATTTATAATCTATTTTATGATTTATAAAATTGATTTTATGATTGTTATACGAAACAAGTAAGAGTGTTAACATTATACAGATCTGTTGGGATTTGTTTCCTACCCCATCCTGTTTCCATCCTTGGAAACTGACTATCTGGGCACTGACAACAATTGCTGGTAGTATTTGCTGCTAACCTAAGTTTTATCAGTACAGCATGGAATTCTTTTATTTATTATTTGCTCTGTGACTATTGTATCAACTATTAACTAGGTTATTATAAGTATTGGACCTTCATATAAATTGCTTAGGACTTAGAATTTAGTTTTTTTTTTTTAACTCTTGTTCACTAAATCTGAGTTATACTCCTTAATTGTCTGTGTACATTATCGGAGAATAACTGATACCCAGGAATTAAAGGGATATTACCGATCCTTTAGATTGTTCTAAGACCTAAAGAGTCATTTTTTCCTTATTTTGTAATAAATTCTTTTTTGTTTTGTGTCAAAACTTGGAACTGTTTATGAATGTGAATTATTATTTGAATACTTTTCCTATGCCAGATTTTAGGTTAAGCACTTTATATGAATACTCATTTTATTTTCCTCACAACCTTTTAAGATAAGTATGGTTATTTTTCTCATTGTACAGGTGAAGAAATGTAAGCTTAGAAACCCATAGGTAGTAATTGCTAAAGCTGAGA